TTTTTTTTTTTTTTTTTTTTTTTTTTTTTTTTTTTGTATGTCAAGCACCTAAAGCCTTCTTCTATCAATGGTTATGAGGTTTGGTTTTTTAATATCCACCATGTATTAATTCCTAGCCACACACTTGGCATTATGCTGAGGGGCCCCACAAACCATCCAGGGAAGAAGGTATTATCATCATTCTCGCTGTATAGATGATAATGAGCCTGGGAGAGATGAAGCAACTTGGCAAAGGTCATCCAGAGAAACAAGTGTGGATACAAGTGTGTTTATGGTGGTGTGTGTTTTAGGAGAGGAATGGGGGTCTCACTTTTAACAGAATGCTAAACCATGGGCACACCCCACTCTGATTCTCCCTTTCCCCTCTTCATTACTCTTTTCTTTCTTTCTTTCTTTTGTTTATTATTATATTTTTTTTGTAGAGACAGAGTCTCACTTTATTGCCCTTGGTAGAGTGCCATGGCATCACACAGCTCACAGCAACCTCCAACTCCTGGGCTTAGGTGATTCTCTTGTCTCAGCCTCCTGAGTAGCTCAGACTACGTGCCTGCTGCAACACGCGGCTTTGTTGTTGTTGTTGTTGCTGTTTTGGCCCGTGCGGGGTTTGAACCCTCCACCCTCCGTATATGGGACCAGTGCCCTACCTACTGATCTATAGGTGTCCCCCTTCATTACTCTTGATACCATGACCACACGTCCAGAAAATTGCCCAGATAAGGCATGATCCCTCTTCTTTCAATCTTGACATAACAGAGTTTTATAGCAACAGTATTGTCAAAAATAGCTCTTCCTGGGCTACAGCAAATCATATTTACACCAAATGGACCTCTCACTTGTCCAGATGTCATTCTGAGCAGAAAACAGGGCTTGGCAAAAACAATGAGGGAGTGGTACACCCCATACCTTTTGTTTTGTTGTTTATTTGTTATCACCATGCTGCAGACCCAGACATCCTTTACACCTGCAGATTTTTCCACTTCATGCAAAGCAACAATACAGGACTGAAGGGCAAAAGGGTGAAGAGACTCACCATCAACAAGAAACCTTTACTGAAGAAGCAGCACAAAGCAGACTGAATAGCAGAGAAGCTGAGTAGCCAAGCTCTGATGCAGAGTTTCAAAAGCTGGGTCACGTTGGGCAAATTCTTAAAGTCTAGATGAACCTCAGTGTCTTCATCTGTAGGATGGGAATAATAATAGCAGCAACCTTGCAAGCTTGTCATGCATATTGAATTGTTGTACACAATACGAGTGGAATTATAGAGAAAATGCCAGCACACTGAATTCAAATTAGGTGGAGTCCTTTACTGGCTGACCGACTGAGATAGGTTCATACCTGAAAATTCTTGGTCGCCTGTTACAGAGGTAGGGGTCTTTTTATATCCTTCTTTCTGTGTGGGAGGGGATTGGAATTCCTAATGCAAAGCAGTTTACAGAAGTAAAAGGCAAGGTTAGATCTAAGGGGCAAAGGGTTGGAAGTCAAATGGTGTTTTACAAAGGCCTGCATTCTGCCCTGTCCCCACAGGGAGGTTAGATTAGATCTATAGTGCAAGGGGTTGGAATCAAGCAATTGCAAAGAAAGCCAAAAGGTATTTTACAAGGGCCTGCATCCTGGGCTAATCTGCCCTATCTCCACAGGGCATGTTTATTTAACACTTCCCATTTCTGCAAGGCCTACCTGCTCAGGGACAGGTCTGGAGAAAGTGGGGGTTGTGGGATGAGGGAGTGCAAGATGGTGTCAATCTGGTCTTCTCAGAACGATATCAGGAATGCAAAGTGGCTGACCTACAGCAAGAACTTAATTAGCACTGCTTTTTATTGTTGAAGATCCTCTATGAATCATGCTTAGTGCTAAGGAGCCAATACACAGCCTCTACCCACACCATCTGGGTAGGTTAGGGAGATGGGGTACATATATTAAAAACCATAATTAATAAACAATGTAGAGAACTGTCACATGAGGAGCATGGATGCATGTCATGGAAATTCAAAGGAAGAAATAACTACTAACAAAAATAGGGGGGAAAGTTAGACAACAGATGGCAGTCCAAAATGGGTAGTGATTTTACCCATGTCACAAAGCTAGTCTGAAAGAATTAGGAGTAAATGCTGAGGCTCTTGATTCATACTGTAAGACTGTTTCATGAATCTATGTCATAATAATATTAATAAAAACAATACTGTTGGGCATGGCAGCTCACATCTATAATCCCAGCACTTTAGGAGGCCAAGGCAGGAGGATCTCTTGAGGTCAGGAGTTTGAGACCAGCCTGGGCAACATAGTGAGACCTTGTTGTACAAAAAAGTCAGATATGGTGTCATCTGTAGTCCCAGCTACTCAGGAGGCTAAGCCAGAAGGATCACTGGAGCCCAGGAATTTTAGGCTGTAATGAGCTATGATCGCACCAGTGCACTCTAGCCTGGGTGACAGAGCAAGACCATGCCTAAAAAAGAAAAGAGTTTTAACAATAGCAGTAGTTAACACTTCAAAGGCAATTTTTACATAAAAATGCCTTCTAGGCATTTTATACACATTATCTTATTGTATCCTTATAATAAGCATAAGAGGGAAGTATTATATTCCTCCATTTATAGATGAGAAAATTGAGGTGCAGGGAAATAAATCGTTTGACCAAAGTCCTACAACCAGAAAGTGGCTGAGTCAGGACTTAAACCAGGTTTCTAACCAATGATAATAGAGGAATGAAGGGGAGAAGAGGACAGAATAGCTAAAAAGCAAGGGGAATGACAGGCCAACACTTAGTGGTAGAAATGGACATGTGAATGCACCAGCTTTGGGGAAGAAATTCAAGTAGAGGCATTAGCAAATACAGTTAGAACAGAGTACCAGGCACATGGAAGGAGGCCTTGAACACCCATCCAGGCAGCAAATTTTCTATTTGTCTGTTGTTTAGTTAGGGAGAAGATAGGGACAGAGGTTGGGAGCGTGACAATTTTATGGTTGTGGGGTGTTTTTAGGCTAATCTGGTTACAGACAGAACGAAAAGGAAGATACTGGTGGCAAGGAGACCCATCAGTGTCTAACAGGAGCTTCTCCAAGAAGGATGAGGTATTCTTGGCGTGTGTTCCAACTTTCGAAGGCATAGAGTCACAAGCCTGCCTCCCAATCTCACCACAGAGCACTGAGAAAGACTGACACTCTCTGCTCATCTCCCTCCACAGGCTGTGACACTTCTGCATCCATAGCAGTAGACGGAGTCTATTGGGAATCATGAAGATCCTTTTTTGCCACTACCAGACATTTAGATGTATCTGGCTTGCTAAGGCACCTGGCCGTCACTTCCACAGAGATCGCCATCTTTGGATGCCCCTGACTCTTGCTGACTTTGAGGCTATAAATCGCTGTGACAGGTCGTTGCCTAAGAACTTTAACTTTGCTGGGGATGTGCTGGACCAGTGGTCTGAAAAGGAGAAGGTATAAGATGATGGGCTTCCGTTACGGCCTTGGTGATCACTTATCTCTCAGTCTTCCATTTCCCTGTTCTGCAGTCAACTGATCGATTTCTTTGCAATTCTTTCACTCTCTTGGTTTCCTTTGTTTGTTTTCCAATTGTCCTCTTCTCTCCCCAGGGAAGATCTTAGATCCTCAACCACACATGGCTAGCTGTCTTTCTCCAGAGCCGCCTCACCCTGCCCCCTTGCTTTGTGGTTACTCTTTACCTTCTTTTTACTCCAAGTCCCACACGATAGCTTTTTGTGTTTGGACTGGTCAAATCCTTGTCCACAAAGTGGTAAATCGAGCTTTTATTTTATGAATATTGCTATCCTTTTTTTTTCTTTTCTTTTCTTTTCTTTTTTTTTTTTGAGACAGAGCCTCAAGCTGTCACACTGGGTAGAGTGCTGTGGCATCACAGCTCACAGCAACCTCCAACTCCTGGGCTCAAGCGATTCTCCTGCCTTTACCTCCCTAGTAGCTAGGACCACAGGCGCCTGCCACAATGCCCAGCTATTTATTTTTTGGTTGCAGCCGTCATTGTTGTTTGGTGGGCCTGGGCTGGATTCAAACCCGCCAGCTCAGGTGTACGTGGCTGGTACCTTAGCTGCTTGAGCTACAGGCACAGAGCCTGAATATTACTATCCTTGGAGTAATTAGGAGACAGAGATTGAGAAGAATAAAACAAGCCAGCCTTACAGACTGTTTGGAGTGCAGCCTCAGGAAAAAATCCATCTTACTGACCCTCTCCCCTCCTGGGCACTGAGCCAAGTGTGGTACCAACCAGTGCTTACCAAAGTGACCTGCAGGACCTGTGATTCAGAAGATGATGTTTGGTACTAGACACGAAATGTGCTATGGACTAAATAATCCTTCCTTTTAAATAGAGGGAGAACGTCTTCCCTGAATGCCATTGTGTCCTAATACCTAACATTTGACTAAACTCATATGTGCAGAGGGAGCACAGTTTTGTTTTCAATACATTTATTTTTCAGTCCCTGGTTTTTAGCAAGTGGTACTGATTTTCCAACTATGGTGAGGATTAAATGCAGTTTCCTTCTTAAGTATAATAAATACAAGTGAGAGTGAGTCAATGTAAAGAAATACACAAAGTACAATGGCACAGGTGCAGACAGATTTAGCAGAAATAGTGGTACTCAAACAGCTGAGGATTGTGAAATATTAACCTGTATTATTTCCTCAAATCCCCACAACCACCTTGGGGGGTTTGCAGATAGGGAACTTAATAACATCACAGAAGTTAAGCTACTTAGCCAACATCACAGAGCTCCAAAAGAACATGAACCAAGTCCCTGACCTTATGGAGCTCACATCCATAGGGCAGGAACACATCTGTAATGTAATAATGTGTGTTGGAGTCGCCTGGAACCTGAGCACAATGCTGAAGGAGCACAGGGAAGTCGGTGAGGAAGCAAAGAGAAGGCCAAGAAATGCCCACAGACAAACTAAAATATTAACTGGGCTTTGAAGTACTTGTCAACTAGGAAAGGCAAAAAGAAGTTTCCAGGTAGGGAGGAAGAAAGGTGTAATTTTCTCCAGGTAAAACATAAAGCAAAGATTGCCAGGTGCAGTGGCTCTTGCCTGTAATCCCAGCTCTCTGGGAGGCTGAGGCAGGAGGATCCCTTGAGATCAGTAGCTTAAGAGCAGCCTAAGTAAGAGCAAGAGCAAGACCCAACTCTACCAAAAAAAAAACCTTAAAAATTGGCTCAGCGCCTATAGCTCAGCAGCTAGGGCACCAGCCACATGCACTGGAGCTGGCAGGTTCAAATCCAGCCTGCTAAACAATGACAACTACAACAAAAAATAGCCAGGCATTGTGCCAGGTGCTTGTAGTCCCTACTTGGGAGGCTGAGGCAAGAGAATTGCTTAAGCCCAAGAGTTTGAGGTTGCTGTGAGCTGTGACGCCATGGCACTCTTACCCAGGGCAACAGCTTGAGGCTCTGTCTCAAAAATAAATAAATAAAATAAAATAAAAATTAAAAAATTAGCCAGGCATCATGGCAGGTGCCTATAGTCCCACTTACTCAGGAGGCTGAGGCAGAAGGATCACTCCTGAACCCAGGAGTTTGAGGTTGGTGTGAGTTAGGCTGATGCCATAGCATTCTAGCCTGGGCAACAGAGTGAGACCTTGTCTCAAAAAACAAAACACATAAAGCAAAGAGGTTTTTCATTATATATGACCTGCTTTGTAAAATGATGGGTGAGAAGTGTCCTACAGAAATTAATCAATTGATGCGACCCTCCACTCTGCTCCTCGTGACCTGTGAAACCCTTACCTCAGTCTTTGGGTACAAACAGATGTCAGGTTCCTAATCCAACTTAGTACAGCCATTAAAGTTATTTTCATGGGATCAGATCCAACCTAAGCAAGAAAGAATTTATTCTAGAAATGTGGGAGAACTCATACACTTGGGCTGGAAGCTGGAGAGTCCATCTCAGTGAGGACAGGAACCAGGACAACTCCCTGGGGCTGCATAAACACCAAGAGCCCATAGACAGGTTTTGCTCCAGCCGTTTTCCATCTTTTGGTTCCTCTCAGAAAACTCAGAGTCCAGGCAGAGAAGTTCTATTTGCCCAACCTGGGTCACATGCCCACCTACAGGTCAGGAATGGATAAGCACCCTGACAGGTTGTCTTGCTAAGACTGTGTTCAATAACAGAGAAGCAGTTCCCCCAAAGACAAACTGGGGTGTTGTCACCAGCATGCTCGGGAACAGATGCTAAGGGGAAGGGAGAAATGGCAAATGCCTTACCTATCTGGGAACCAGTCATGTAAACCTACTCTTCTCTTTCCCGTGTGTCCCTGGCCAGACAGGAGAGAGACCTGCCAATCCAGCCCTGTGGTGGGTGAATGGCAAAGGGGATGAGGTGAAATGGAGCTTCAGAGAACTGGGTTCCTTGTCCCGAAAGGCCGCCAATGTACTTACCAAGCCATGTGGCCTGCAGAGAGGAGACCGAGTGGCTGTGATTCTGCCCCGAATCCCTGAGTGGTGGCTGGTAAATGTGGCTTGCATGAGAACAGGTCGGTGCCAATGTTTAATATTTCTAAAAAATACAAAAAGAGAGATTAAAACTCACAGGTTTTCTGAAATGTTAGCTCTGATTAAAGTGATGCTTACAGAAGACAGAAAAAGAGTTGAAATTAGACAACCAAATTGTACTAATAATAATGACCTTCAGAGGTAGGTATTATCGTGATAACTATTTTGCAGAAGAGAAAACTAAGGCTCAGAGAGGTTAGGAAGTTTGTCAAAAGTCACACAGCCAGAAAGCTATGCAATTAGGATTTAAACACAAAGATGTATTAAAGCAAATGTGGGTACCAATACCTCTTTGCAGTCACTGGCTAAATTATATATGACATATTCATCTAGAATAGATGTTCCGGAATTTACTTCTCTGAATGTATTTGGATTCTCTCTGACATAAAATATATTCAGCATATTCAATAACACACTTTCTCTCAAAATACTAATTTATAAAGTACCCCCCCAAAAAAATTCCAGTGGGTTCTTTTCTCCTCTAGGACAGGAGTTAGCAAACCATAGCCTATGGATTGGCCACTTGTTTATGTAAAGAAATTTTTAATGAAATACATCCATGTTCATTTATCTATAATATATATGTGTGTGTGTGTGTGTATGTATATATATATATTGTCTTTGGCTCTTTAAAAAAAATTATTTCCAAATATCAGAAGAGCACAAATCTTTTGGTTACACAAATTGCTTTTGTACAGTTTGAGTCAAAGTTACAAGTGTGCCCATCACCTGGTTAGTGTGCCTTGTACACTAGAAGTGAATTTATCCCTCCCTTCCTGTCTCCTGTCAGCAGTTTGCTTCCCTATGGCTCCTTTTGTTCCACAACAGAAGAATTGCTAATCAAGACAGAAATACCATGACCCACATAGTCTAACATATTTATTATCTGGCCCTTTATCAAAAAAATGTTTGACAATCCCTACTCTAAAACATGACAATTGTTGATAAATTAATTAAAAATAGGTCAGGTAGAGAGTCTCATGCCTATAGTCCCAGCTACTTCGGAGGCTGAGGTAGGCAGATCGCTTGAGTCCAGGAGTTTGAGGTTGCGGTGAGCTATGATGATGCTGCTGCACTCTAGCCTGGGTGACAGAGCAAGACCCTGTCTCAAAAAAACAAAACAATAAATCAATTAAAAAATAAATAAGAATATTTATTTACCATAGAGAACACAAAGAAATTTGTTGCAGAATCAATTAATTAAATTAATTAATCAAAAAATAAAAAAGGATAACATACCATTGAGAACACAAAGAAATTTGTTGCAGTATCATTAATAATAGTAAATTAAGGCTGGACACAGAGGCTCACACCTGTAATCCTACCACCCTGGAAGGCCACAGTAGAGGATTGCCTGAGTTCAGGAGTTCAAGACCAGCCTGAGCTAGAGCGTGACCTCCCTCTCTAAAAATAGGCAGGTATTGTGGTGGGCTCCTGTAGTCCCAGTTACTAGGGAGGCTGAGACAAGAGGACCAATCACTTGTGCTGAAGAGTTGCTGTGAGCTATGACACCATGGCACTCTAACAAAGTGAGACAAAGTGAGACTCTGTCTCAAAAATAATAATAATAATTATAGTAGTAGTAAATTACTGAGAACGACTTAAATAGAAAATATTAAATAATTTATAGCCTAGTTTAGATTAAAGTCGAAGTATGTTTATTGCTGATTAAAGTTACGACATCTTATCTTGGAATATCACCAAAAGGTTTCTTTAACTTTTTAGTCCTAAATAATCCTCAATAAAGGATATTAAGCAATAGAATATTACTAAAAGAATGATTATAAGGATTTCATAATAGTGTTGAAAATGTTCTTCCTTCCCATATATCAAATCAGTACACTGTACCCCATAAAACATCAATGTACCCAGTTATGATTTAATTTTTTAAAAAGTAAAAAAAACCAGCAATGTATATAACTTCCAAATGTAAAAAAAAATTGGATTGAGAAAAGATTGAGGGTGGTTTTGGTTTATTTGTCATAATTATGTACTTAATATTATTTAACTTATGCAATTTATGAAATGCTAATGAAAAATGAACACATAAGGAGAATGGTTAAAAAAACTACTCAGTTAATTATATGTAAAGCAAACATCTGAGGATTATGTTTCTAACTCAGAATTATTAAATCGTCTAAGTGAATATAGAAACTGCTTATGCAATACCACATGCCAAAACATTTGAGTTTTTACTGTAAAGTATATGCAGTAAAGCCTAAGATATCTGCTACCTAAAATCTAATAGAAGAAAACTTTGCCCAACCTTGAAGTTAGAGGTCTATTCATTGTACACATTCACATCACAAATCTTTAAAAGCAAGAGGTTTGCAAAATAAGTAATATTATATTTTAATATTGAGTGAACATTCTGAGATCCTCTAAGGAATTTCCTCAGCTTCCTTATCCTCAGGTATTTATTCATTTCTCAAGAGGGGATGACACCTGAAAGCTTTTAAAATATATTCAATAATATAAAATCTCTTGAGTGGTGCCCATAGCTCAGTGGGTAGGGTGCTGGCCACATATACTGAGGCTGGCACGTTTGACCCGGCTCAGGCCAGCTAAAACAACAATGACAACTGCAACAACAAAAAAAATTGTTGTGGGTGCCTATAGTCCCAGCTACTTGGGAGGCTGAGGCAAGAGAATCATTTAAGCCCAAGAGTTTGAGGTTGCTGTGAGCTGTGACACCACTGCACTCTACCCAGGGTGACAGCTTGAGACTATCTCAAAAATAAAAAAAAAAAAATAGATAAAATAATAAATATATATATATATAAAGTCTTCTTCCTAATAATTCAACTGTATATCTGTCTGTTTAGCAAACTTTAGGGAAATACATAGTCTAGTATACAACACAGGTCTTGGGAATCTGGGAATATACCTTTGAATTCTGGCTCTGCCACAGTTCTGGCTTGGTGACCTTAAGGCAAGTTGTCATCTATACAGAGATTAATTTTAAGTGAAATACCCAGCACATAACAAGTGATAGGTGGTCAATAAATGGGAGAGGTCATCTATAATACTTTAAATACACTTCACTTTCTTCACATTGATTTACTTTAGAAAGTGCAAACTACTCTCTTACATCTGATTCTATCATATATGTTCTTCCCATAGGGAACTGGTATCTTAAAATCAAGCCCATTTCCAGCCAGTATTTAGGCTAAAGTGAGGAGTTGGAATAATTTAATAATTAAAGTTAATTTAGTCAAATATTAACAAGGCCAGACCCTGGGATCCACAGATATTTCAGGGCTGGCTCTGCCACTCACCAGCTCTGACCAAACCCATATTCCATCAAATGATGACAACTGCATAGGCCAAAACAGGGTTGCTTAAAACAGTAGTCTCCAACCATTTTTAGTTGTACAATCTATTGATAAAAATATTTAGGATGCACATCTTCCTATCTAAATATAGGTATTTACATTAATATCCATTAATATAACATGTATATTATAAAACATATACACAAATGACATAAAAACATAAAAAGAATTCTAGTATCTCAATAACCATTTTAAATTCTATTATTTTCTTCTCTTATTTCTAATGGATTGCCTTGTAAGAGTAGCTTTGAAGATAATTGGTTCGGAAGATTCATTAAAAATGTGTTAAAAACTATAAAGTGCTAGTCAAGTATTATAATAATTCAAATGTTGCATTAAAATGTTACGTGGTAAAAGTCCATTATTCTAATACCTACTAATGTATTTTGCCATGATTTTGGCCCAAACTTTCAAAAAAAAATTTCCTTTTAATTTTTTTTAATTCAGATTCAAAGCTTCAGTGTATGAAAACTGTTTTGACATTTTCTAAGGGATTTTCCAAAAATTTTTGTAAAAATATCAGCTAGATTGCTTGCTCCCACCTAAGGAAGAGAAATGAGATGCTCTTTGTTGGCTGGAAAATGCTTTCGTTGCAAGTTCATTACAGGTTCAACAAAACCGATCACCATATCCCAGGATAATATTTTTCATATGGATATAATTATTGCTTTCTGGAGTTGCACTTTTAATACATAAGCACAAATAAAAGAACTTAAAACATTTATATAGATGCAGAATTAGGACTACCCATGTAGGATGCACATACTTATTTTTCGCTCAAAAATTTGGGCAAAAAAGTGCATACTATACATGGTAAATATAGTATATGCAAGACACTATCTACTAACTACTCAACTAACAGAGTTGAATAGCTAGTAGATAAGGAAAGGAGGGCACAGAGAAATCAAAGTCACAAAGCTAGTAAGTTACAAGACTAGATGAGACCCATGGTCTGTCAGACTCCAAAGCCATGTTCTAAGGATTCCCAATGATGGGTCATGTGGGAGGTCCCTGGGAACCAAGGTAGAGGTAGCTGAAGTTTCTCCAAAACTTCTCCCTGACCACCACAAGACCCATGTTTTCTATACTCCAGGAAGTCTTACCTAATGGACAACAGTTTTGTTCACCTCAGGATGCTCTGTCTTTTCCCAGGGCTTGTCTTCATCCCAGGAACAACCCAGCTGACAGCAAAAGACATGCTGTACCGGCTGCAAGCATCCAAGGCCAAATGCATAGTGGCCAGTGAGGAGGTGGCACTGGCAGTGGAGTCCATCATGTCTGAGTGTCCCGACCTGAAGACCAAACTCCTGGTGTCTCCCCGTGAACGGAATGGGTGGCTCAACTTCCAGGAGTTAGTTCAGTGAGTATTTTTTCCCAACCTATTTGAAGCAGCAGCCCCAACAACACAAATTACAGCTACATCTCAGAGAGCCCTTGCCTTCAAGAACTTGGCAACACTGTGAGTTGATCTGGGCTCCTTCCTAGAAAAGAACTGTCTATTCAAAGGATTTAAGGGCAGAAGGAAAGGCTATAGCTCTGCCTCTATTTTTCTGTTTCCTTTATGGCCTATGAAGAGTATCCTGCATGGTCTGGCCCTTGCCTACCTTCTGGGCTACCTCTCCCACCACCTGCCCTTTTATTCTTCAAACATGTCCTACCTCAGTGCTATTGCACCTGATATTTCCTCTGCCTGGAATACATTCACTTATTCCTTTTCTCAGGTGGTTCCTTCTTATCAGATTTCAGTTCACATGTTTTATCCCGTATGAGACTTTTCTGGCCACCCTATCTAAAGTAGAATTACAAGACACTCTTTCACATCATTCTCTTGTTTTCTTCATATCACTAAGCATTATCTGAATTTTGTGTCCATTCATATATTCTCGCATTTAGAGTCCATTTGTCTTGCTCTAGAGCAGGGGTGAGTCAATCAGGGCCCACAGGCCAAATCTGCCCTGCAATCTAGTTTTATAAATAAAGTTTTATTAGAATGCAGCCATGCTCATTTGTTTCTTTGTTGTCTATTGCTGCTTCCACGTTTCAACAGCAGAGTGGAGTAGTTACAACATAAACTAAACATGTTCCAGCAACAGAGTTGAGTAGTTATAACATAAACTAAACCCACAAAGCCTAAGATACTTGCTACATGGCCCTTTGCAGAAAAGTTTGCCACCCCCTGCTCTTAACTATAAGCCCTAAGAAAGCAGAGGCTTTTTTTTCCTGTCTACTCAGTTGATCATCCTATCCCCAATTCCTAATACCTAGTTTAAGAAATATTTGCTGAATGTGTAAATGAATCAACTAAACAGGACATTTAACCTCAGTTTTCTTCAGATATAATATGAGGATAACTGCACATATCTTAAGTGTTACTTTAGGATAAAATAAGCTAATATGTGAGAAAGTGCTTCCTGGGCTATAAAAAATGAATGAAATGTTAATTAATGGTATTAGCCTTCAAAGAGGTATTAAATAGCTTGTTTTAAAAAAAATTATTCTCCTGGAAAAGTTTGTAGATAGAGAAGACATGTAAAAGCCTGTTGAATAATAGACCAGTTTTTTTTGTTGGAATGAAATTTTGTCCTTTGAATTAATGTAAATCAAATACTACTGGCCAATCCCAAAATTCTCTCTCAAGGGCCATCCCAATTGAATCCCCTTTGTGTCTTTTTTCTTTTTTTTTTGAGACAGAGTCTCACTATGTCACCCTTGGTAGAGTACCGTAGCATCACAGTTCATAGCAACCTCAAACTCTTGGGCTTAAGTGATTCTCTTGTCTCAGCTTCCCAAGTAGCTGGAACTATAGGCGCCCACCACAATACCCAACTATTTTTTGTTGCAGTTGTCATTGTTGTTTAGCAGGCTCAGGCCGGGTTTGAACCCACCAGCCTGGGTGTATGTGGCTGGCACCCTACCCACTGAGCTATGGGCACCGCCCCTGTTTGTGTCTTTTATAAGCTTGGATGAGTTACAACCTTGGATGAGTCAAGTAATATTTCTGAAACTGCATCTTATCCATAAAATGGAGATAAGGATCTACTTCATGGAGTGGTAGAAAAATCAAATGTGATAAAGCCTGTGAAGTGCTTAGCATAATTCACTCCATAAGAATCATGATAATTATGATTGTTATTATTATTGTTTTCAAGTCATTCAACAGTGCCGTGGTTCCTAAGGTAGTGGTATTCAAATTATTTGGATATGTATCTCCATCAGTAAATACATTTTAATACACCTCTCAATCTATATACTTATTTCTTTATAAATAACATATAGGTACTTTATGCATTAGACAAATACAAAACATAAAAATTTTAGAGAGTGAGGAAAAAAACATAGAACTTGAAGTTCTCCTGTTTTCTTCTCTATCCCGATTGCCTTGCACAGTCACTGAGCAGCAAGCACTCCCTCTTCAGAGACTCTTGTCCTAAACAACCCTACGATTTTCTGTTGAGTCCCCAAGGAATCTTAAAGATTTCACAAAATAAAAAGAACTTTAAACTGGGCGGCATCTGTGGCTCAAAGGAGTAGGGCACTGGCCCCATATGCCAGAGGTGGTAGGTCCAAACCCAGCCCCAGCCAAAAAAAAAAAGAACATTAAACTCATATAAATTTCAAATTGTACATTGGTGGGGGGGAGTTTCCAAGATGAAAGGACTCCTCGTTTCAAACAAGCAACTTGGGAGTATCATAACTTCAGAAAGGCCATGGAGTGTTTCTCTAAAAGCTGAAGAAGGGATAGCTATCTCATTGCTAGCAGTTGGCCAGTTTTTTAGAAAACCACACACAGCAATAATTTTACATTGTTAGGATCAATCTTCTTCTTCCTTTTTTTTTTTTTTTTTTTTTTTGAGGCAGAACCTCAAGCTGTCACCCTGGGTAGAGTGCTATGGCGTTACACAGCTAACAGCAACCTCCAACTCCTGGGCTCAAGCGAGTCTCCTGCCTCCACCTCCCAAGTAGCTGGGACTACAGGCACCCGCCACAACGCCTGGCTATTTTTTGGTTGCAGCCGTCATTGTTATTTGGCAGGCGCAGGCTGGATTCGAACCACCAGCTCAGGTGTATGTGGCTGGCGCCTTAGCTGTTTGAGCCACAGGTGCGGAGCGTAGGGTCAATCTTCTATGCAAGGAGTTCATTTTAAGGTTTCCCATTCTCCTTCTGCCCCTCAAGTATGGAAGTCCATGAATACTTTGCAGAATGTTCCTAATGGAATAGGGAACAGGTCAAAATTAGGGGCCAGGCTGTTTCCTTTCTTCTGTCCCAGTGCACAGGAATCCTTCCCTGTGGGTCTAGAACTCTGGATTCTGATCTTCAGGGGATCAAGATCATGTTCCAGGCACAGGAGCATGAGCAAAGATATAAAGCAAAAAAATACCCTAATGTGTGCAAAAAGATAGATTTAAGCAGTGTAAGGGATCTGGAGAAGAAAATATGGAATAGAGCAAAATCTGGAAGAGCAAGCAGCGAAGTCCAAATTATGGAGGCTCTGTTAGCCTATGCTAAATCTTCAACTTGACCCTGAAAACAAGGGAAGGAATTGAAGAGTTTTAAGAAGTGTTGAGGTCAGGTCCCAATTTTAAAGATTTCTTTGGCACTCATATAGAGTATGATTTAAGGAGGACAGAATTGGAATCAGAGAGACCATCTAGGTGAGAGATGATGAGGATCTTAAGCTAAGCTCTGGTTCATAGGATACAAGAAAGGGGGAAATCTAATGAACTAGCAGGACTTGGAGAGTAAATTGGACCTGGAGTCTGATCTTCTCAAAGGCTCATCTGCTTTTTCACTTAGGTGACTGGGTGGATGGGATACTATCAGATGGAGAAAGATCCAGTATGAGAGCTTAATATAATGAGTTTAAAGTTGGACATACTGAGATAGAAGAGTCTGTGAAACATACAAATACCCAGGAGGCATAGACATATGCGGTCTGACAATTAAGTTTGTGAACTTGACACCATGCATTTATTTTGGCAGCACCATACAAACAGCTAGACAAAGGTTCATAACCTTGTCTATCAGTATCTTACAGCTGTGTTCACGTTGATGTGTGGTGGTGTCTTGCTGAGTGGTGTTCACTATTGTTGCATGTTTTTGTGGACTGTCACAAGAACTCAGAGCTTGAATTGGAGCAAAGAACAAACATTGAATTTCTTGTTAAACTTGGCAAGAGTGGAAGTGAAATTAGGGACATATTAGTCCAAGTTTATAGGGATAATACCATGAAGAAAATGGTAGTGTACAAATAGATTAAACATTTTTCCTGAGGGCAGAGAAAGTGTGTGTCACTAATGAAGAGAGGTCAGGGTGGCGAATAGGCAGAACTGACTAAAACACTGCAAAACAAAAATTTGTCAAATCATGCATCAATATCATTAGCTGACTATGGGAAGTAGAGCAGAGTAAGTGATAGTTAGGAAAGTCTTAACTGAAAATCTTGGCATGAGAAAGGTGTGGCTCTTACTTTCACAGCAATGCACCAGCTCACACAGCACTGTCTATGAGGGAGTTTTTAGCCAGTAAACAAATAACTATATTGGAACACCTTGACTCACCTGATCTAGCTCCCAATGACTTTTTTTCTTTAACTAAAGGTAAAGGAAATATTGAAAGGAAGACATTTTGATGACATTCAAGACCTCAAGGGTAATACCACAGCAGCTCTGATGGTCACTCCAGAAAGAGTTTCAATATTGCTTTGAATTGGACTGGAGTCTGGTGTTGGTGTATAACTTCCCAAGGAGAGTACTTCAAATGTGACTGTAGTGATGAGGAATGTAGCACTTTTTCTAGGATGAGTTCCCAAACTTAATTGTCAGACCTCATATACGTCTCAAGGAAGTACAAGTAGAAATCTGGAAGTTATTAGTATATAATATGCACTGAAAAATCCAGAAAGGGCTAGGCATGGTGGTTCGTGCCTGGTAATCCTACCATTTTGGGAAGCCAGGAGTTGGAGACCAGTCTGGGTAACATAGCAAGAACCTGTCTCTCCAAAATGCTAAAAAAAAAAATAGCCAGACAGGGTGGCATGCACCTGTAGTCCCAGCTATTCAGAAAGCTGAGGCAAGAGGACTACTTCCCTTGAGCCTAGGAAGCCGAGAAATTCAAGGCTGCGGGAAGCCATGACTGCACCACTGCACTTTAGCCTGGGTGAAAGAGTGAGACTCTGCCTCTGAAAAAAAAAGAGAAAATAGAAAAGAAAATTCCAGAAAGATTATAACTCAGAACTCAAGTACCCAAGGAAAGAGAGACAAGTCAGACAGTTGGAATAGCTGCTTAAAAATCTCCTTATCTGGCTTGAGACCTGTGTTTCAAGCAGCTAAGGTGCCAGCCACATATACTTGAGCTAGCGGGTTCAAATCCAGCCAGGGCCTGCCAAACAACAACAGCTACAACCAAAAAATAGCCAGGTGTTGTGGCTCCTGTAGTCCCAGCTACTTGGGAGGCAGAGGCAGAAGAATCGCTTGAGCCCAGGAGTTGGAGGTTGCTGTGATGCCATGGCACTCTACCCAGGGCAATAGCTTGAGGCTCTGTCTTAGAAAAAAAAAAAAAATCTTCTTATCAAGTGGTGCCTATGGCTCAAGGAGAAGGGTGCCGGCCCTATATGCTGGAGGTGCGGGTTCAAACCCAGCCCCAGCCAAAACTGCAAAAAAAAGAAACAGAAAAGAAAAAAAATCCCCTTGTCACTCAGCACTCAGAGATTGTCACTTCTTTTGGTTAAATAAGTACATAAAGACCTAACATCAATAGGCCTAGATGCAGTGGTTCATGCCTGTAATCCCAGCACTCTGGAGACCAAGGTGGGCAGATCGCCTGAGCTCACGAGTCTGAGACCAGCCTGAGCTAGAGTGAGACCCCCGCCTCTAAAAATAGCCAGGCAAACTGAGGTTCTTCAGTTGACATCCAGCACGAAATTCTGACTTGTGGAATGAGGGGATGGCATATTTGTTCAGGGATGGAAGGAACTGTTGGAACTACCCACAATCTTAGCACAGATTATTATCAGTTAGAATGCTTTTGATTTTAGTAATCTAAATAAAAATGACAATACAAAAAATGTTATTATCTCACAAGTAAGTACAGAGGTAGGGTAGACTGAAAGTTGGTTAATTCAGTGGTTCAATGACAGTAATAGGGGACCCAGATTCATTCATCTTTCCATCATGCCATCCTCTGATCCCAACATAGTGAGGGTAGCTCCAGGAATCCTGCACTTTCACAGTATTCAAAGGCCATAAAACAGCATGGATGGGATGGGAGAAGGACGCATCCCTTCCTCAAGACTTTTTACAAAACAAGGAAATATTTCCCATTAAAACCTTATCTGGCTCGGCACCTGTGGCTCAAGTGGCTAAGGTGCCAGCCACATATACCTAAGGTGGCGGGTTCGAATCCAGCCCGGGCCCACCAAACAACAATGATAGCTGCAACCGGAAGAAAAATAGCCAGGCATTGTGGCAGGCACCTGTGGTCCCAGCAACTTGGGAGGCAGAGGCAGGAGATTCGCTTGAGCCCAGGAATTGGAGGTTGCTGTGAGCTATGCCACGGCACTCTACCCAGGGGGACAGCTTGAGGCTCTGTCTCAATAATAATAATAATAATAATAAAACCTTATACTACACATGCCCATTTTTAAACCAATCACTGGTAAGGGAAGGCATTACCATGACTGGCTTAGGTTAATTAAAAATTGTCCCCAGGAATTCCACAGGAATAGTCTCCCCTGATGCACATAACTGCCTACTGATACCTAAATAAAATCAGAATGTTATTAAGGTATGGAAAGAAGAGGAGAGCTATCCGGTAAGCAACTGGCTGCGTCTGCCAGAAATATTGACGATATCGGACAAAAATTATTAAAAAGTTTGATTCAAATGCCAAAAGAGCTCTCTTTAAATAATAGACTCCTGAAGTGTTAATAGAAATTTACAAAGATTCAATGCCAATTTTTAAACAGTCACAGATTTTTTAAAAGCACTGGGAAAAATATTTAAGTAAATAAAATTCATGTTCTTGTGCTATTAATGCTGGAAGTTATCTTGGCTATTTGGCCTATATGGAAATGAAGTTAACCAAAAAAAAAAAAAAAAGGAAGATGATGATGATAATTTGAGTTATTAAATCTTCGCACGGGTTCAGCACCTGTAGCTCAGCGGCTAGGGTGCCAGCCACATACACCAGAGTTGGCAGGTTCGAATCCAGCCTGGGCCTACCAAACAACAATGAAAACTATAACCAAAAAGTAGCCAGATGGTGGTGCCTGTAGCTCACTGCATAGGGCGCCAGCCACATACACCCAGGCTGGCAGGTTTGAACCTGGCCCAGGCCAGCTAAAACAATAACTGCAACAACAACAAAAAAATAGTCGGGTGTTGTGGCAGGCGCCTGTAGTCCCAGCTACTAAGGAGGCTGAGGCAGGAAAATAACTTAAGCCCAAAAGTTTGAGGTTGCTGTGAGCTGTGACACTACAGCACTCTACCCAGGGCAAAATAGCAAGAGTCTGTCTCAAAAAAAAAAATCTTCCCATGGTCTTCAAAGTCCCTCTAAGATTTCTGGAGGAATTCCTCTCAGGGAAGTTTTGGATTAGGTTCAGTTCTATTAACTCTCTTTTGCTAAAAAGAACATAAACAACAGAAATTTGGGGGTTATATTGGCCTGGCCATTTTGAGTCACCACCTCGGGGCTAATATTTTGCAGATCTGCATCTGAAGAGCACAGCTGTGTGCAAACAGGAAGTCAAGAACCAATGGCCATTTATTTCACCAGCGGGACCTCAGGCTCTCCTAAGATGGCCCAGCACTCTCAGAGCAGCCTTGGAATTGGGCACACCCTCTCTGGAAGGTAGGAAGGAAAACTCTATTTTTGGTGAACTCCCCCATGAGATCTCAATTTGTGTAGCCAACCTGGCCTTGAATGTTTGTATCTCCAATGCACCATCTACAAAGCAGAACTCTTGAAGCCCCTGCCCAACCCTAGCCCAGTAAATGGCACCCTGAGTAACCAACTGATCGAGCAAGAACTTAAGAATTGACCTTGATTCAATCCCATAACAGCATGTCTGACTCCCTCTCCTCATTGCCAGGTAAATTTACCCAGAAAGACCTCTCTAAAAGAATGGCTATCCTGAAACTATCAGATTACCCTGTTTTATTTCCTTTGTAGTATTTATCAGTATTTGAAATTACAATATTTTTTTTCTAGCATGAGATATTTTTCAATTTTATTTACAATATTTATAACAGTAAAAACTGGAATTCATTTTATTTATTACAATATTACACTAAAAAATGGGAAAAAGTCTAAGAACAAAAAATTCATTTTAAAAGATCATAAAATCATAACTTATTTTAGTCCTCAAATGAAGTTGTGAACAGGCATTAAAAACATGTTGTGGGCTCGGCGCCTATAGCTCAACCGGCTAAGGCGCCAGCCACGTACACCTAAGGTGGCAGGTTCGAATCCCCAGCCCAGACCCGCCAAACAACAATGACGGCTGCAACCAAAAAATAGCCGGGCATTGTGGCGGGCGCCTGTGGTCCCAGCTACTTGGGAGGCAGAGGCAAGAGACTCGCTTGAGCCCAGGAGTTGGAGGTTGCTGTGAGCTGTAATGCCATGGCACTCTACCCAGGGGGACATCTTGAGGCTCTGTCTCAAAAAAAAAAAAAAAAAAAAAAACATGTTGTGAAAGTGTTCAGTGACATGCAGAGATCTTAGCTCTGTTTTTGTAGTCCATCTATTATACCAATGCCTCTTCGTTAAGCTGTTATCTCGCCTCAAACCTCCTATACCTCTTCACCCATCTCACTCAGCCTAACCTTGCTTCCTATTTTATTGAGAAAAGTAAATCAATCAGAAGGCACTTCTGGGCTCGGTGCCTGTGGCTCAAGTGGCTAAGGCACCAGCCACATACTAAGGTGGCAGGTTCGAATCCAGCCTGGGCCCACCAAAAAAACGACAGCTGCAACCAAAAATTAGCCGGGCATTGTGGCAGGCACCTGTGGTCCCAGCTACTTGGGAGGCTGAGGCAAGAGACTTGCTTGAGCCCAGGAGTTGGAGGTTGCAGTGAGCTATGATGCTATGGCACTCTACCCAGGGGGACAGCTTGAGGCTTTGTCTCAAAAAAAAAAAGAAGGCACTTCTGTAACCCATCAGCCGGCATCTCTGCCATATATGCTCCTCTCCTGTTCCAATGGTCCGAATATCTCAATGAAGACCAACCCCTTCACCTGCGTATTAGATCCCAGCCCTCTGCCCGCCCATCCATTAAAGAAACTGCACATCATCCCTATGACACAAGAGGGTGCCTTGAATGAAGACTCTCGTCACCAGTCTAGAACAGGCATAGGTATAAGCACTCTTCATCTGTACAATGCTTTTTATGTCTGTTTTATTGACTTCTTTCCAGCATCTAAAACTTTAGCCAACAGCTCCTGTGTTTCAGCAGTTAGGGGTGCATGTGAAAACTTGCAGTATTCACCTTGATAACATTTTGTTCCTGTGTGGTAAAATTTGCAAGGATATTCATTATGCAAATATAGACAGTCTTTGCCTCTGGTACAATCTCCTTGTACATAAAAACTTCACATTTCCTTTTTCTTCTCTATCTCTGCATCATGATCAAATTTGCACTGGTCTCCCTTAATACATTTCCTTTCAAGAAAATATTTACAAATTTGTTTTCCCTTGTATTCCACCGTATGTGGGTTGATGAATCCCTGACTCACGCTCCCGTGCTGCTGCTTCTCTTTAGGTTTACCATCCTCCTCCTGGGAGCCACTGTTTCTCAGCAAAACATTTGATCCTTTGTCTCCAGGGCCAGGCCATTTTCATTGCATTTTATTCTTCTTACTACTCTTGTGACCAGCTTTTATAGTTTTATTTTTTTTGTTTAGCAGCTTGCTGGGTATCTTTTGCTCCCTCTTTCTTCATAGATACTTCAGGAAATGGTAGAGGTTGAGTAGCATTCACCATTTCTTTAGCTTGACATACTGTTGAAGTTCTTTGGCAAAATTATCTTCTGACTCCTGGCTGCAGACATCATCATCACTATATACATCATAGTCCTTACTTCTTGATTTTCTGTGTAGCAGATTCTTCGATGATGTTGTTGAGTTTCCAAAGTGCCTTAAACTGTGCAGTCTTGGCAGGTTATTTAACATCTCCATGCCTCTGTTTTCCTATCTTTCGCCAAAGTCCGTGGCTGGTCTTTTGCCGAGGGTGGGGTTAGGGGGTTTTGAGAAAAAATTCTCAAAATCCATTACCCAGATAGGAGCCTCCCTCTGCAGAGCCCAGTCGCTACAGAGTCTACGATATTTAGAAATATACTCAATTTACTTTAATGTGTACTTGTTAGCTGTCTCCCTAAAATAAGGGCAGAGATCTGGCCTACTGTGCTCACTGCTGTAAAACAGTGCCTGGAATGACAAATATTTGTTGCATCAATGGACAAACTCACAAAATCATGCCACACTCAGCCACCCACTTTATTCTCAGACCATCTAGGACTCTGAAAACAAATCTTCTAGGAAAAGTGGGAATAGAATCCCTCACCTTGCCTTGGGGCTACTTTTGACCATTTTCTGTAGCCTTTGAGGTTTGGGGGCAAAGTCACTCCTCAAAGACACCAGTTTTTCTGCCTTTAGGTTTTTTACTTCTATCATTTATTTATTATCCGTTTCATTCCTTCTTCACATCGTTTAGATATTGGCTGGACTTGAAGTCCTCAGATATCATCTGGAACATGTCTGATACAGGCTGGATCAAGGCTGCCATTGGCAGTGTGTTTGCTTCCTGGCTTCAGGGAGCCTGTGTTTTTGTGCATCGGATGGCCCAATTGGACACAGACAACTTCCTAGATGTAAGTCACAACCTCCATTCCATATATGCACATATCTTTAGAGTTCTTCCTCATTCCCCACAAAACTGTAAAGATTCTAGGGCTCTTGGGTTTCTGGAAGTCAGTCTTTATATGAAACAAAGTCTCCAGGGTCTTGGCTTTTGAAATGTATTTAACAAAGTGAAGGAGGAACACCTATAACACTCTCGAGCATGAAATCCAGTCTTCTGCTTCAAATTGCTCAGGATTTGCTAGCGCGGCTAAGTCTGAGGCTGTTTAACAGTAATATGCCCAGAGGAGGTGAGGGGAAAGGTCAGAGACTGCATCAACCAATGTTTTCTTTTTGTATGTTCTGTTGTCCATATAAACTAAAAAAAAAAAAAAAAAAAAAAACCCATTAGTGGGGTCATTTTCTGGACCCCTCCCTTTTGTGATCTGACTGTTTTAAGAACTTGGTTCTAAAATAATAGAAGTATCAAATCTAAACAAGTATTTTTATTTCTGATTCATTGAAACACAGATAATAGCTGATAAATCTGAACTCCTAGGAAGAGATTAACGACGAGGTTGCCTTTCTCCCAAAGCAGCTCCTTTCATTCTCCCTCTACCCTGAGTTTCTCATGTCATTAATTCTCTGACCCAATACTCTCCTGGAAACCAGCCTTGCCTTCTCAGCCAGAGTCTGCTAGATTGAGATATCAGATAACTCTAATTTTTTTAGCCTTTAGAAAAATGCAATTCAGGCTCAGCACCTGTAGTACAATGGTTAGAGTGCTGGCCACAAACACTGAGGCTGGCGGGTTCCATCCTAGCTGGGGCCAGCTAAGCAGCAATGACCACTGCAACAGAAAAATGCCAGGTGTTGTGGCGGGTGCCTGTAGTTCCAGCTACTTGAGAGGCTGAGGCAAGAGAATTGCTTAAGCCTAAGAGTTTGAGGTTGCTGTGAGCTGTGATGCCACAGCATTCTACAGAGGGTGATATACTGAGTATCTGTCTCAAAAAGAAAATAGTTACTGAAGGCAATTATTTTTCAACCATGAAAAATCAATTAAATTTTAAAAAAATACAGCTTGGAGCCTGTGGCTCAAGTGGCCAGCCACATACACATAAGGTGAAGGGTTCAAATCCAGCCTGGGCCTGCCAAACAACAATGATGGCTGCAACCAAAAATAGCCCGGCATTGTGGTGGGTGCCTGTGGTCCCAGCTAGTTGGGAGGCTGAGGCAGGAGACTCGCTTGAGCCCAGGAGTTGGAGGTTGCTGTGAGCTGTGATGCAACAGCACTCTACCCAGGGGGACAACTTGAGGCTCTGTCTCAAACTAAAAAAGAAATACATATTATTAAATATACACCAGACTGTGTGAATAAAAGCTGTTCACCCTGCTGTTGTGCTAACTGGTCTGACAAGATGGTTTAAGAGTCTTGACAGAAATCTGGGCTAACCTAAGAATGGAGAATTTTTTTTTTTTTGAGACAGAGCCTCAAGCTGTCCCCCTGTGTAGAGTGATGTGGCATCACAGCTCACAGCAACCTCCAACTCCTGGGCTCAAGCAAGTCTCCTGCCTCAGCCTCCCAAGTAGCTGGTGTCACAGGAGCCCACCACAACACCCAGCTATTTTTTGGTTGCAGCCATCATTGTTGTTTGGTGGGCCCGGGCTGGATTCGAACCCGCCACCTTAGGTGTATGTGGCTGGTGACTTAGCCACTTGAGCCACAGGTGCTGAGCCAGAATGGAGAATTTTAAATCAAGTTTACAAAGTGCCCTGAAATTGGTAAGTTAACTTTGCATTTTCAAAACCTATATTTGTAAAAACAAGAAGGATACTTATGCTCTACAAAGAGAATGCATATATTTAAGGGCTATAAAAAACCTCTATAGATTTATGCTAGTCTTAAATTTATACATGGAACTTCATAAAAACAATTAGAATCTAGGGAGCAGGTACCCACAGTAGAAATGCTCACTGACAGATTAAAGTTACGTTTTTGGGGTTTTTTTGAGACAGTCTTACTATGTCGCCCTCGCTAGAGTGCTGTGTCATCATGGCTCACAGCAACCTCAAACTCTTGGGTTTAAGAGATTCTCTTGCCTCAGCCTCCCAAGTCGCCAGGACTACAGGTGCCTGCCATAACGCCCAGCTGTTTTGTTGTTGTTGTTGTCATTGTTGTTTAGCAGGCCTGGGCATGTGCCCAGTGCCCTAACCACTGAGTTACAGTACCCAGCCTTCACAGGTTTGGGGGGGTTTTTGGGGGGGGGCGGGGGCTGGGTTGGAACCTACCACCTCCTATATATGGAGTTGGCACCCTACTCCTTTGAGCCACAGGTGCCACCCAGCCTAGATATATTTTGAGAACCTTCTCCCAAATGCTTAAATTGAATACAAATTGTCAGTACATTAGGTGACATAGTGGAACTTCTCCAGAAAGAGAATTTTGAAAGCATTAGTATTTCTCTAGATTTAAGATGCCTCAGTCATTATTTGATGTAAGGAACTGGTGGTATAGGGAGCCCAACAAATTTTAAGCAATTAGGAAAGGCCTGAAAAATGCCTGTTTTCTGCATTTATTCAATCCACCAAAATGACTGGTGTCTTTTACAGGAATAGAACTGGAAAGGTCCATAGTTTAGCTTGTATTCCCAGTGTCTGTCTGCACTATCTATAAATATACAGTCAGAAGGTTATAAGATTCCACCAGGAAAGGAAACTTGTACAGTTCATACTTTGGCGGGGGGGGGTTAAATTCACTTGTTGAGTTTGTGTTTGTATATTTCTATAACACATATCTATTCTTTTCGGTGAAATTCTCAGCAGATATCCAGTCACTAGTGATACCTGGTAAATAGTTCCTTTCTTATTCCTAGTAGTGACCTTGACATGAACACATGTTAATGAAAGAGAATGAGAGGCTATATATTAGCTGTAGTCATTGCCTTTGACAGACCACTTCTGACATCTGTGTCTTTGTCCATCATGCAGACACTTACCACTTATCCCATCACGACCCTGTGCAGCGCTCCCACTGTATTCCGGATGCTTGTGCAAAAAGACCTTACGAGGTACATGGGAAGAAATCTCTATTTGAAGTACAAACAAAGGCTATCCAGCATCACAGATCTCTCCTTTCAAGCACAGAGTAGCCCAGGATTTTTCAATCATGCCACTATCAACATTTTGGGCCAGATAATTCTGTGTCATAGTGGGGAGATGGGTCATAGGTTGGGGAGATGGCTGTCCTATGTGTTACAGGACAGTGAGCATCATCCCTGGTGTCTACCTATTAGATGCCCGCAGCACCACCATCCCCCATTTGTGATAATCAAGAATGTTCCTAAACATTTCCTAACATCCCTAGTGGACAAAACTGTCGCTCGGTTTAAGAACCACTGAGAATAGCCACTAGGGGCAACCAGACATTTTCCTGGGGACGACTAGAATCCTACAGTCCCAGAATTCCCGCTGGAAAAACTATGTCCCCTAGGGTTTCTTTTAGAAACACTGTCATTTAAAATCAGTCATAAAAAAAAGAAAGAAAGAATCTCAAGTACATTTATACTGCCTTAAAGAGAAGCTGATGGAGTTTATGACCTGAAGGTTATATTCAATTTAGCCGAAGCAGCTGAACATGCAGTAGGGCTGCAATGCATTTTTATTTAACCACCTCAATACATGAGGAAAGAGAATAAAGGAGAGAAACACAATGTAAGCAGTACAGGCTTGTCCATCCTCTGTTCTCTTCCCAGGAGGGAAAGTTATGAGAGACAGAATCCAGCAGATAAATGTTGTTTTCCTCGTCAGTGTCAACTCCTTTGTGGCCCCCAACATGTGAGACCTTGCTCACATTTCAGGGGTAATTCAAGGACTATTCAAGGGTTATTTTGAATAGGTCTGATTTGTATTTTACCCACATCCCTCCACTCTTTTAGCACCTCACTGTATGAGAACAGGCTGGTCCAGCAAGGCCAGTGGTTGAAAGCTCAAGCCCTTAAAACAGGCAGGGTTCTACTACTTAATAATAGTGTGACCTCAACATTCAAGATGACCTTGCTATACCTCCACCAACTCCATCCATAAGACAGGATTAAGACCCACCTCAGAGGGTCGTGGAAGAATTCAGTGCAAGCACCTGCTTCGTGAGATCAGCTTGACAAGTGGGAGGAAGTGCATGGTACAGAGTATCCAACCAGCCCTTTATTATTTGGGAGGCCTTTGGCAAGTTTTTTAACCTCTCTGAGCCTTAACTTCCTCATATGTAAAACAGAAGTTGTGAGGATTTTAAGAGTACTCCTAAAGCCTTTACATGTCCAACAGAGCAATGGCTTAATCAAGATCAGCTATGGCTCGTTTGGCTCATAATAAGCACCTAGTGTAACTATCAGCATTTTCTCCTATAAGAGCTGAGTTCTCCTCTACCTAATTAAATGGAAGCGCTGTCAGGAGTCTTTGTTTTCATCCCCAACCCCACATGCCCTCCCAGCCCCATGCCTAGAACAATGTCTGGCAATACAGTAGCTGTTTGACAAATATCTGTATTACACATGTGTCCCTGAAGCCACCCATAAAGTCGCCATACATAGGGAAAATGGAAAATTGTAGCTAAGTGTACTTTTACTTACCAAATATTCATTACAAAATTTGACAAAGAGGTGGCTGACACATAGAAAATATTTTCTAAATATTTTACAAACTTCCTTAAGACTTTAGTCTCCTATCTCCTAGACTTGTTTCTAAAACGTACTAATAATCTTGCAATGAAAGACACTCAGCTTTCTCTCCCAAAGACCTCATGCAACTGTCTTTCCAGATACAAATTCAAGAAGCTGCGGCACTGCCTTACAGGAGGGGAACCACTCAACCCAGAGGTGCTGGAACAGTGGAAGGCACAAACCGGACTGGAGCTGTATGAGGGCTATGGACAGACAGAAGTGGTATATTAAAAGGGCAAAGTTTACATTTAGTATACATTTAGTATATTGGGGGGTCCTTCTATCTCAGGACTGTCAACTGAGCCCCTGAAGTGCCCCCATCCTGCCCTCAGTTTGTGTGGAGATTTCTGGAATATCTCCTCTCCCCTGAAGTTACCAAAACTTGTGACTTGCCCAATTAGGTCTGGCTGAAAGGGGACTATGACTATTCCATACAGTCTTCCTACTTCCCAAGCAAGAGAAATCTCAGTGGTATGGGGGTGAGTGAGGTTCAGAACTAAGCAGCTCATCTTTCCACTGTGTTGGAAAGAACCCTCTGATACCCTCTGTGGGGAATTTATTCCAAGATGCATGTAATGGAGTCTGAAGGGGTGATTTTCAAAACAGCAGCAGTAGCAGCAACTGGGAATTTCGTAGAAATGTAAATTCTTAGACCCCCCCCCCACACTCCACACCCACCATATCCAGAAATTCTACAATGAGGCCCAACAATCTGCATTTAAACAATGCTCCATGGGCGGCGCCTGCAGCTCAGTGAGTAGGGTGCTGGCCTCATATACTGAGGGTGGCGAGTTCAAACCTGGCCCCCACCAAACTGCAACAAAAAAATAGCCAATGTTGTGGTGGGCGCCTGTAGTCCCAGCTACTCGGGAGGCTGAGACAAGAGAATTGCCTAAGCCCAAGAGTTGGAGGTTGCTGTGAGCTGTGATGCCACAGCACTCTACTGAGTGTGACAAAGTGACTCTTTCTCAAAAAAAACAATGCTCCAGAATCTCAGGCTTGATTTTGATACACCCTCAAAGATGAGAACTACTAGTCTAAAATAATATATTTCAGAAGATAAACTTGCATACTGGAAAAATCTGTCAAAATTGAATCTCAAGTTTGTCCTGACATAAATAGCTATAGAAAATGAATTTTTGTATACTTACATAAAACATATCCTCTCAATAGGGAATAATTTGTGCCAATCATAAAGGACAAGAGATTAAACCAGGCTCTATGGGGAAAGGAGTACAACCCTATGATGTCCAGGTGGGTTGAGAAAACATCTGGTTCAATAAAGAACATGTTACAGTTTTCTGCTATTCCTTATATATTCACAATCTGTTTTCATTTTGTAACAAGGAAAATGTAAGAACCTGAATCGTTTCTTTCATTCTAGATTATAGATGAAAATGGCAATATTCTACCACCTGGCAAAGAGGGAGAAATTGCCCTCAGACTAAAATCTACACGGCCCTTCTGTTTCTTCTCTGAATATGTGGTAAGAGAATATAAAAAGTGCAATTTACACCTCAATAAAGACTAGCGTCCAAATTTTATATCCACCATGTCTTGAGCAAGTAATGATAAAATCCAGGTTTATTTCATGAACTGTAATACAGGGAGAATATCATCTATCTCTGAAGAGTATCATAAAGATTAAATTCCAGGCTCGGCGCCTGTGGCTCAAGTGGCTAAGGCACCAGTCACATACACCTAAGGTGGCGGGTTCGAATCCAGCCTGGGCCTGCCAAACAACGATGGCTGCAACCAAAAAAAATAGCCAGGCGTTGTGGCAGGCGCCTATGGTCCCAGCTACTTGGGAGGCTGAGGCAGGTGACTTGCTTGAGCCCAGGAGTTGGAGATTGCTGTGAGCTGTGATGCTACGGCACTCTACCCAGGGGGACAGCTTGAGGCCCTGTCTCAAAAAAAAAAAAAAAAGATTAAATTCCATATGTAAGACACTGTCTGTAATGGTTGTCCTCCAACAGGAAAACTGGACAGGCATGGGTAGGGGTGGAGATAGGGAGGTGCTAGAGGTAGAAGAGAGGCCTACATTTTATCATTCTCTTTCAGATCTTTTATATTTTATACTGGGAACTACCTTTTTTTCTTTTGGCCGTGGCTGGGTTTAAACCCGCCACCTCTGGCATATGGGGCTAGCGCCTTACTCCTTGGAGCCACAGGCGCCACCCCTGGGAACTATCTTCCTTAAAAAAATTTTCTTTTAGAAAATTTTCTTTTAAAAGTAGGATGTATAATGTACTTGTCACTTCATGAGTGCCACATCCTGTCTCTATTCTGACCAAACTAACCCCAAATGCCATCTTTGATTCCTAGGACAATCCAGACAAAACTGCGGCCACATTAAAAGGAGATTTTTATGTCACTGGAGACAGAGGTGTGATGGACAGTGATGGGTATTTCTGGTTTGTTGGCAGAGCTGATGATGTCATTATATCCTCTGGGTTTGTACACTTGCCACTTTTTAAAATCAGTGCTTTATCAGAGAAAGAAATCTACTGGGAGGATAGAGTTATCAAACGCGTCTTTTCCTCTTCAGATACCGTATTGGGCCATTTGAAGTGGAGAGTGCACTCATTGAGCACCCAGCAGTTGTTGAATCAGCTGTCGTCAGTAGTCCAGATCCAGTCCGAGGAGAGGTAGAGTGAATGTCATTCATTAAAGTAGCAACTTCATATTTTCAAGTTCTGTCCTTTTGACAACTGAAAAGACTAAATCAAGAGTGGTCATTTAATTCTCATTCTGAGATATGCATGTGGCAAAACAGTACACAAAACTTCACCAATGATTTGTATAACAAAGAGTGTGTCTTCTTTTGGTGACAAGTAACAGAAACTCAACTCAAAATGATTTTATCTAGGTACAGCTACACCCAAGGTTCATGTGAAGCTGGTAAGACTTAGTCTCCATATTTGACTCTGCTATTCTTTATGCTGGCCCCATTTGAGTGGGTTCTTCCTACCTGATAGTAACAGACTCCAGACTTACACAGTGGAACAATCCTCCCAGCCCTACAGGAAAGGATAAAACTCCCCTTTCAGACATTTTAAGTTAGCTCTCAGGATCTCATTTGCCTATCTTAGATCACATCTCTAACTCCTGTGGTCCAGGAAATAGTATATGCTGACTGGCCAGACCTGGGTCATGTGTCTGTCACTGGGGGTAGGGGTTGGTGTCAACCCCACAGAGAAGGTAGTAAAGTAATACTCAATAGGAAAAGCACAGTTCTCCTACTAGAAAGGTGAAACAGATATTGCATAAGCAAAAATGGCAGATTTCACTGAACGCACAGTTGTCATGGAATGCAGAATACATTTTCTCACAGAAACAATGCAAGAAAGAGATTGTGGCCAGGTTCCCAAATAGGTCCCCCAAGCCTATTTAGGACATAATGAAAAGGAATTCTGGCAATGACAAAAATAGCCTTAGTTCCAGGAGGAAACCCTTTCCTCATGGAAGTTTCCTGCAGACTCAGCAAGTAGGGAAATTTCAAAACCAATTATCTATCCTCCCCCATCTCCTTCTGTACTTCCCTCTTCAGAGATGTTGTGGATACTGTGTTCTTACTTCCTATACACCCTCCACTCTTCTTTCTGTTCCATTCTACAAGAGTTTCCTCCTGCCACTATTCAATATAACTGATTTCAGCTGAACAGTAGAAATAAATACCAAGTAGAGTCAATGTATGAACAATTAATAATTTAAACTGTAAGTGGAAAAGAACCCAAACTCTATAAAATAATAGTTAAAGAGGATTATTCTGAGCTAAGTATGTGTAACCACGACTGGGAAGGCCACACCAAAAGAAACCACGAACAAGTGGTCCCACCGTGATTGGGTTAGTCTGACTGTCTATATTTTAGGGAGACAGGAATTACACATGAGATCATAAATCAGCACATGGAAGGTGTATATTGGTTTGTCCCAAGAAGGCAAGGACATCTCAAAGTGGGGGGCTTACAGTTTATATAGGTAGGTTTAAAAAAAAAGCCTTGGAATATTTTTTGAGAAAGTCTCATTCTGTCACCGGGTGAGTGCCGTTGCTTTAGTCTAGTTCACAGCAGCCTCCAGCTCCTAGGCTTAAGCAATCCTCCTGCCTCAGCCTTCTGAGTAGCTGGGACTACAGGCCCACACTCAGCTAATTTTTCTTTTCTTTCTTTCTTTTTTTTTGAGGTTGAGTCTCCCTTTGTTGCCCTTAGTAGAGTGCTGTGGTGTCATAGCTCACAGCAACCTCCAACTCCTGGGCTTAGGCAATTCTCTTGCCTCAGCCTCCCAAGTAACTGGGACTACAGGTGCTCGCCACAACGCCCAGCTATTTGTTTGTTGCAGTTTGGCCAGGGCCGGGTTTGAACCTGCCACCCTAGGTATATAGGGCTGGTGCCCTGCTCACTGAGCCACCTTGATTTTTCTATTTTTAGTAAAGATGGGATCTTGCTTTGCTCAGGCTGGTCCTGAACTCAACCTCGAGATCCTCCCACTTTCTACCTCCGAGAGTACTAGGATTACAGGCATGAACTACCCAGCCCAGCCACCAGCTTGAAATATTTTAGGGAAGTTTGTTATTCAGAGACAAGCCACCAGACAGACTCAAGCAATCTGTTAATTGATGACCTGTGGTTCTGGTTTAACCTTTATTAAGGTTAAACCATGGCTTTAGGCCTTAACATGAGTTGGTATCTTATTATTACAAAGCATAACTCCAGAAGGAAGGGGGCTTAACTAGGCATGTCTGACCACCCTTCTCAGGGCTGGCAACTCAGCTTTTTCTGGGGTCCCCTTGGCCAAGAGGTCCATTCAGTTGACTGGAAGTCTTAAGATTTTCTTTCAGTTCACAGAACTATGCTTCCTAATTTCCATAATTATTTCACTGTTTTTTTTTTAATATTACAGAGAAGTAAACAATGTAAAGCCAAGAATAACCTCTTATAGATAGATCAATCCTTCCAGAGAGGCGATTTCCCAGGATACAGAATCTTTCCTCCATTGGAACTCCCCAGACTCTATTTTTTATTTTTTCTCTTTTTTTAAAATTTCAGATTAATATGAGGGTACAAATGTTTAAGCTACATTGTTTTCATTTCTAAGGTAAAGCTCAAGTTGTAGTTGAGCCCTTCATGGGGGGTGGGGGTGGGGTGGGTGCTGAACCCTCTCTCGGTGTGCACATTAGGTGAAATCCTGCCAGTCACCCTCCCACCTCTCCCTCTCTCCCCTCGCCTTCCCCTCACTAGACTATACTTGTGTTTTTCTTTTGTGTGTTCTTGTAGTTGTTTATATATTGGTTTCATATTAGCATTGAGTACACTAGATACCTTCCCCCCCCCCCATTCTTGATATACTTTACTAAAAAGAACATGTTTTAACTCTATCCAGGTAAGCACAAAAGATGCAAAGTCTCCATCTTTTCTTATGGCTGAATAGTACTCCATGATATACACATACCAGTTTGTTAATCGATTCATAGGTTGATGGGCACTTGGGTTGATTCCACATCCAGACTCCCTTTAAAGTACATGTTCCCTATAACCTCCATGTATCCCCTCCTACATGCTTCTGACAGTATAGGTTTGACAGAGCAAGTGGTCATCTGAAAATCAAGGACTGCCCGTATAATAAATAGGACCAGCCTGGTTGAAATGTTAAATGAATGTGTGACGTGTAAATAGGACTCAGCCATTGGCTTTACTGATGCCTTTACTGAATCACTGCACTCCTCACTTTCACAAATCATTTACCTGGAATTAGATCTCAAAGTCTTACTTTATAATTGTATCCAAACTTGTTCAGAGGTGATCTCTGCCCTGTGTAATCATCCTTCAAACTGCTGTTAACAAATTCTAAGTACCTATTTTCAACATTGTTTCTAAAACCTTGATGTGTCTGAAAAACAAACAGCAATAATTGATTTTCCTGTTACAGGTGGTGAAAGCTTTTGTTGTCTTATCTGCACCCTTTAAATCCTCCAACCCAGAGAAATTAACTCTTGAGCTTCAGGATCATGTGAAAAAATCAACTGCACCTTACAAATACCCAAGAAAGGCAAGTACTTTGCCCAAAAGTTAAGTTTGTGTTATCAAACTAGGGCCTAAGCTAGTAGAGATTTGATTAGAGTTTGACTTTACAGTAGTCCATTGTATGGGTAGAAAACATATTTTCAATTTGTTTAGCCCAGAAAAGTTTACTTTAAAATGTTTTATTTTAGGACACTATAAATGCATGATCAACTAAAACTTTTTACCAACTCTGCACTAATAACTACAAAGAATCTAAGACTAACTAGTCTTATTCCGTATCAGAGTTTTAAAAATGGTGGCAAAGACCATGTGCTTTGTCTTTAAGGATAGAACCTAATTTACCTATCTTAGCATCCTTGGCCCTAATACACCTATAAATTCAAAGTGCACGCCTTTAAGTATCAACAGATCTCACTGAAGTCTCAGAAAGAAGACAGTATCCAAAGAACTATGAAATCTTTCCAGAAACCTTCTTCAAGGAATGATTTTAAAATAATTCTATATAAAGGCACAGAGATGGCACTGTAATTTCTTTCTATCCCTGGAATCCCATAGGTTGATACTGATTGATCCTCTGCATGAGAATTGCACTTCAGTTGATACCATTTTAGCCAAAAGGTAGTTAATTTCAACCTAAAAACTACTAACATTTTCTCCATTAAATTCACTATTAATGATTCTGATTTTTCAGAAACATTGTTTGAGGGCATTTTAAAATATGATAATCTTGAGGAAAAAAGAAAGAGTTTTTACAGTCAAGTCAGAATAAGGGGAAAATTGTATATACTCCAAGTATATACTCCAATTTTCTTTAAAAAAATCCCCCTGAGAACCTCCAGGACCCAGCTCTTAAAAGCTCAAAAGCCATCTTTTCTTTCTGCATTTAGGTGTAGCCTCTGTTTCTCATGGGTAGTAGAGACCTGGGTCCAGTTTGAAATAGAGGAAAGCAATGGGGTTGTTTAGTTCTGGCAAACGATTCAAATGAATTTGTGCTAAACGCCTTTAAGATGGAGCTACACTGTCATGTTCCTTAAACGTGGAAGTTTCTGGAGCTCAAAAAATTCAAGGAGCTTAGGCTAAGACAATCTTGACTTTAAAATTCATCCTCAAAGTTTCATGAAAGTTCTCCACTGTAATGACAGTAGGAGGAAGTCAGAATGAAATCAAGTGTCTCATAATGTTTTTCTGTCAATTAGGTGGAATTTGTTCAAGAACTCCCAAAAACCATCACTGGAAAAATCAAACGCAACGTGTTAAGAGACCAAGAATGGGGACGAACATAGCTTAATTAAGAAAACTGACAGATTAGGTAGTAACAAAGTTGCTTTCTTTTAGCTTTTGCTTCCTGATAATTCAGTGACTACTTTAAGTTCTAAGATTTTCCCTGGTTGAAAACTCAGCTCTGTTTTGTACTTAGACAAAAAATTAAAATGTAAAAATATAAAAATACATAGATAAAAATGTTATGATGACCAAACTGAAAAAGGTAATGATTATAATAACTGTAGTGTTTAACTAAGAAGGTATCAGATGATTACTTAGAAAAGCAAAGTACACAAGGAATCTGTATTTCACTTAGCTTGTGCCTCCTTATTCAAATTAAAGAACAGAACTATTCTAAGAGAAATGCTCAAGACACAATTTCTTCAAACATCTTTATGAAACCAAAACTTTTAGATTAAAATATTAAGTTAAAATGGGAAAATAAACAATAAATTTAACAGAATTATGTGCTCTTTTACTGTGCCTCATTTTAAAGTACATTCACTATAGGCTTGGTGCCTGTAACTCAGTGGCTAGGGAACCAGCCACATGCTCTGGAGCTGGCAGGTTTGAACCCAGCCCAGGCCTGCCAAACGATGACAACTACAAGATTAACAACAAAAAATAGCTGGGCATTGTGGCAGGTTCCTGTAGTCCCAGCTACTTGGGAGGTTAAGGCAAGAAAATCTCTTGAGCCCAAGAGTTTGAGGTTGCTGTGAGCTGTGATGCCATGGCACACTACCCAGGGCAACATAGTGAGACTCTGTCTAAATAAATAAGTAAATAAATAAATAAAGTATATTCATTATAAAGTATCTCAAACTTTGATTATTTAGGAGCACCAAGTATTCAAGGGTAATTTTTTTGTATCATTACTTTTTATGACCATGTATATAATTTCTGATACATAAATTGACAAACATCTTTTATATATACTGCATATATCTATACACACTACATATATATAAAATAAAGCAAAAGGTTTACTAAGAGGCAGAGAGAAACAAAAAGTACAGAATACCAACCTTTAGGGAACAAATTTATTTTTATTTTTCTGAAAATATCAAAAACTATTATAAACAAGCTGAATGCTCGTACCGAAAGCAATACAAGAACACCATTTGAAAATCATGTTTAAACTTAAGAGAAACATGTTTTAAAATACAAAGTTTAACATTCTTTCTTCTATAAAGCAAATCAAGTTTATTTAAAAACAACACTGGAGTTTTTTTTCCTCAACTAACTTTGTAAAAAAAAAAGAAAGAAAAGCGCTCAATTCCCCCTGGAATCTCATCATTTATAAGATAACATACTCAAATGTCACTGGAAATAAACAGGTGATAAACCTAAAAACAAAATTTTTAACGAATGAATTCAGATCCCAAGAGTACACACTTATTTTATAGCTGGGAAGGAATAGCTTATATCACACCTGGGGCTTACCAAATACAAATAAATACAAAAGATGATTTAAAAAAACCTATAAAATCTAAACCTTTCTATAGAGTAGCAGCTTTTACAAAGTAAAAAGAACACAGTTCCAGAGTTGTATGTTCTATTTTATTCCCAGAATCCTTCTGTTTTGCACTATCAAAATAAAGGTATCTTTGTCTTGGAGTCTGCTGAAAAAGGCACCAAAATCCTATCCTCCTCATTCCCCCAAATAATACTAATCATACTCTTATCAATCCTTTTGAGATGATTTCAGCCTCATTAAGAGTTAACATTCTAAATATCTGAAGATGTACAAGGAAGGTCCTATTCTCTGTCCCTCTCAAATCTTTCTCATCTGGTTTACCAAGCAGAACCACCAAATAGGATAAAAACACATTCCCATGTTCACTATCCATTAAATAAACATAGCCACTTGTGTGGGAAGCCTTAACATTTATAACAGTTCCTAACTTTTCTAATGTTTAAGAATAAACCCATCTCCAAAACCTATTTTTACAGCCCTATTTTTTTTTTGTTTAAGAGGGAGTCTCACTTTATCGCCCTCAGTAGAGTGCCATAGAGTCACAGCTCACAGCAACCTCCAAATCCTGGACTTAGGTGATTCTCTTACCTCAGCCTTCCGAGTAGCTGGGACTACAGGCACCCGCCACAACACCCAGCTATTTTTTTGTTGCAGTTTGGCAGGCGCGGGTTCAAACCTGCCACCCTTGGTATATAGGGCCTACACCCTACTCACTGAGCCACAGGTGCCGCCCCTCCAGCCCTACTCTTACAGTCTCAATGTAGGCAGTTTATTTCACAGACTGCTGTTGTCTGTCTCTTTCCAGCCCTTTTCAATCACTTTACTCAGGAGAAGCCCTGGGAAAAATTTTCAAATTTAGGAGCCCCCTAGGGGAACACTCATTGTATGTGAGCATGAGTACTAAGTTGAAGGATACTCTTATTTCACAGAAATCCCCAACTGTCAGACTAGGCAAGTTCTTTCTCTTCTTTCAGAGAAAAAAACCTCAGGCTGAGTAGATTTCAAGAAAGTGTTCTTCATCTAGGTATATACTAGTGCTGGCAAAAAGACATAAAATGCTATTCAATTTGGTTTTGCAGTTCTTCCAGGTAGATTCTAGTAAGACTTGAGACTTATATCTTTCATTAGTAAGTCCAAGAGGCTCTAAACTTTTCAGGAGTTCCTGGAGTTCCAGGAAAAGGAGATTGTTCCAGAGTGTTTCGTTTTAAATCTAAGACTCTTGTCATTTTCTATTAAAACACGTTTTTCTCCAGAACCATGCAGAAACTCATTCATTTGTTCATGTGATAAAATATGTCTGCTAAACAGGCTAGTTTCTGTAACTATTCATTTTCAGAACACTCAGCAAAACTTGGCCTAGTATTTTCTTGCAAGTACACTGGCAATTCACTTTCAATTCAAAATATTCTGTCACAAACTCTTCCTGAGAAGCCACTGGATATATGGATGAAGCAGAGGATTTATGTGCTTTCTACCCATTTCACAGTTTGGGGCTTATAAAAAAATTTGCATAAATGGATCTTTATTTTTTTTTATTGTCAAGAAAACCATTTCAAACTTGTTTAATGTTTAATGGTATTTTAAAACTTGACCATTTTTACAGCACTATTCAGAACTTTCTTCATCTCATCTCCAAATATTGATACCAGTATCTCTGTGAAGAAATCAGTGTTCTAACATCAACATCAGGATTTTTATGAGACAAAACTTGTCATGGGGCCAACCAATAATGGGGCACCACAAGTAGAGATGACAGACTTTTGGTTTTCAGATATGAAGAAACAACATTAAATATATATTGGCCTTAGTCTTGGGAGGCTCCTAGCAGCAGAAAGTTTTTGTATTTCATCATCATTTACAAATCTTAACAAATGCTACTACATGACAAAAATTAAGGAAAGCTATTGATCACCAACCCAGATAGAGAAGCTGCTTCTTTTCAGTTAGTTACACATAGCATCATGTGATATGTTATCAGTAATTTCACTTAATGAAAGTCAAGTCTTTTCAACATACTATGCTGCATCTTGCTCCAGCATTTGTATGTTGATATTATTAGATTCTCACCAATTATGTCAGTTTTTCTTTTCTAAAGTAACTCTTTCTACCAAATAGAGTAGATCTTCTGTAAGTTGGCCACCCAAGGGACTTAACAAACTGGTCAACATACAGAGGTTGTCAACATAAGGAACTAGGCCTGCTCTACTGATACATACATGCATGTCTCATCTACAAAAATTAGGTCAACTCAATGAGGTGGTCGATGTAGGGAGGTGGTCAACTATGGACGTTCTACTATAATTTGGTACTTTTTCACTGAGTACCATTTCTGAACAAAAGCTTTACTGTTTTGATAGTCTAAGACCCCCCCATTTAAAATAATCAATATCCTTACTTGTCAAATGGCTATGATTTATGGTTATAACTGCTAGATTTCTAAGTTGAATGCCACAGACAATGCACACTGGAACAGGATAGCTTGGATTGTAAGTCTATAAAAAAATCTTTGAGAGAAGCAGCTTTCATTATAAAGACATAATTTCTTTGTGTCCCTTGCTGCACTAGATTACTGAAATAACTCAGAAGACTAAAATTCTTCATCACTAACCTTATCAGAAGAAATGTCTGTAGCTGTATTCCTACAATGGTCCTCTTCTATTTCACAACTTGCCTTCAAAAGCTGCAGCACTGGACTGTCAGATTTCTCACACACAAATGTTAACAAAGTATAAAAAAGAACAAAACCAAACAAGGTAATTTTCAAAACGGCACAAAACAATTCACTCATAACCTGCACAATCTACATTTTGCAATGTTTACAACAAAGTGGCAGGAGACAGCTGAATTGAAATACATAAAAATTCTTTCCTTAGAATGAAAAGTTCCCTTTGATTTTCTACCTCACAGAGCCTGTTCACCCCACAAGTCAGTTGGCAGTGCATAAGAGGCTAGGAGAAGCCAACGTCCTCCTCCTGCCACCATCACTGTGCAACAGTATGTGGGCCTGCCTGTGCACACTGCCATATAGACAGAGTTGAAAGATCTCTAACAAAACTGTTAACAGGGCTACATTATCTTTGTTCACTACTGTAAGAACAGCATTATGTGGCACACAAAAGTCAAAAACAGTGGTTTCAGTTACAATTTTACATGGAACCTGAGCAACAGCTCATAGAACCCTAGTTGAGAAACCTATCTCCAACCCAAATAGCCTAGGAGTGGGCATTTTCACTTGACTTTGATTCTTCTATGACTTGACTTGCAAGTTCGGGTTTGGCTTCGGCTTCATTCACCACCTGCATCTCAGATGTTGGCTTTATTTCCCCTGGCTCCTCACTAATCTCTGGTACCACCTGCTGGTTATTTTTGTCTTCTGCTGGGGTTTTTTGATTTAATTTGTCACCAGATTCTAATTTAATTTCTTTCCCATTTCCCTGTTTTGGGTTAAGCTGTGATGGTTCCTTAGCACTCTTCACCACCTCCTGGAGATTGTATTTTCTGAACAACATGTAATCTTTCACAACACTCAGGCAACAGACAGTTTTGATGATTTCTACTACCACCGTGTACTGTGGATTGGTGAGATCCACTTTATTTTCTGAATTGAGGTTTCCCACTATTCCTGTAACGAAAATACGAAAACACTTAAGACTGAGAAGGATACTACTAAAACAGACACAAAAAAATCTTTCATCCCTTTCTGTTTGGAACTTGTTAAAACAATATATATACCATTCTATTCTTCTAAATGGACTTCAAATTCTCTGAACTCTTTCAGTTAATAAATTCAAATTAAATCCTCAGACATTTAATAAAAGTACTTTTTTTTCCAAAGAAAATTCAATCTTGATTTAGAAGACTACCAAAAAATCTCATATCTAACATAGTAAAATCAGTTAGGTCTGTTTTTTTTTTCATTTGTTTGTTTCTTTGAGACAAGAGAGATCTCACTCTGTTGCCTGGACTAGAGAGCAGTGGTGTCATTGAAGTTCACTGCAACTTCATATACCTGGGTTGAAGCATTCCTGTCTCAGCCTCCCAAGTAGTCTGAACTTACAAGCACATGCCATCATAACTGGTTAATTTTTCTATGCTTTGTACAAATGGAGTCTTGCTATGTTGCTCAGACTGGTCTCAAACTCCTGGGCTCAAACAATCCTCCAGCCTCAATCTCCCAAAGTACTGGGATTACAAGTTGTGAGCCACTGTACCCAGCCAGGTCTGATATTACTTTAAGGGCATTTTAATAAATTTGTTCTACACTTAAATACTTAAGCCTTAAACTTTTAAAGAAGAAAATCCTTAAGAATAAGTGTTTATCATTGAATACCTATGTAAAATCACCAAGAGAAACATACCTGCCAACTCTTTGATAACTTCTTCTCTGTTCATATGACTGTTGTTTCGAGACTTATATACAATCTGAAATGTCCCTTTGTTTGGAGCTTTAAACCAGGGTTCCAAAAATGTTTCTGCATACTTTTTCATGTCTTCTAAGAAAGCCCGGCACGTGCCTGAGATGGGTAACATTCGTAGAATAACCCGAGTCTTCTTCTTCTTGGTTTTGTACATATCCTGAAGAATGTGATGCACCAATTTCTCAGGTTCTAATGGGGGGAAAAAAAAAACTATCAATACAAAATAAAGTTTTCAGACATTTTAAACATTTCAAAGATTTTCAATGTCAAGAATGAAATTTTTTTTTTTTTTGATTTATAAAGAAATTTATTTTCTCAGCTCAGCACCTGTAGCTCAGGGGCTAGGGCACCAGCCACATACAACAGAGCTGGCGGGTTCAAATCCAGCCCAGGCCTGCCAAACAACAATAACAACTACAACAACAAAGTGTTGTGGTGGGCACCTGTAGTCCCAGCTACTTAGGAGGCTGAGGCAAGAGAATCGCTTAGGAGGTTGCCTTGACACCATAGCACTCTACTGAGGGCGACATAATGAGACTCTGTCTCAAAAAAAAAAAGAAAGAAAGAAATCTCTTTTCTCATAGTTCTGGAGGCTGGCAAGCCCAAGATCTTGGCAGGTTTGGTGCCTGTTGAGAAGGCTGTTCTATTTCAAGATGGCAAGTTGTTGCTCCACCCTTCAGAGGAGACAATCGCTCTGTTATCATCTGATAGAAGGCAGAAGGGCAAAAGGGGCAGTGAAATATTTTGACAGAAAAAAATTCTCATATTTTAAATGACTCTAAAACCTAATCTTTTTTTGCAACTAGTATTTCTTCAATGCCTACTATGTACTAATACTGCACCTAATACTTAACTTTTTTTTTTTTTCAAGAGACAAAGTCTCGCTTTGTCACCCTTGGTAGAGTGCCGTGGCATCACAGCTCACAGCAACCCAGCTCTTGGGCTTAGGTGATTCTCTTGCCTCTGCCTCCCAAGTAGCTAGGACTACAGGGCCACAATGCTGGGCTATTTTCTTGTTGCAATTTGGCCGGGGCTCGGTTTGAACCCGCCACCCTCAGTATATGGGGCTGGTGCCCTGCTCATTGAGCCATAAGCACCACCCTAATACTTTAACTTTTTATCCTTATTACTGCTTTTGCTAAAAACAACTATTCATGTAGACACTGGAGTTAACATTTTTGTGATGTCTTCTTAATTTATCCAACCACAACATGATGTTGTTTTTCTATAATAATAATTATGAGTAAGAAACATTAAACAATAGATTTTTTTTTATAAAACTAAACTAAAATCTACAAGTCACTTCAAAATTTAATCAATCCACTAAGTTAGTACATAACTCCCGACCTCAGACCTGGGAGGAATTCCAGAACCATGCAGTACATGATTATCATGAACTGGTGGTCCTGTGACTGCACTCTACTTACACACAATTTTGTTTGGGACTGCTTGATGTTTTCAATATTTTTAAATTGGTTGACCACATTTAAAAATCAAAAACCTTCTAAAGATTTCCAAGTTCTTTTGAAAAACTGGAAAGTCTGGCCCTATATTCCAAAATAGCAACAACTGCAGAGCTGACCAGCAGCCTAAAGTTGTTAAGAAAAGCAAGAAGCAGGGCTGGGTGCAGTGACGTTCACCTGTAATGCCAGCCCTCTGGAAGGCCGAGGTGGGGGGAATACCCTGAGCTTACAGGTTTAAGACCAGCCTGAGCAAGAGCAAGACCCCATGTGTAAAAATGGCCAGGCGTTGTGGCAGGTGACTGTAGTCCCAGCTACTTGGGAGGCTGAGACAAGAGAATCATTTAAGCCCAAGAGTTTGAGGTTGCCGTGAGCTCTGACTCCAGGGCATTCTACCAAGGGTGACAAGTTAGACTCTGTTTCAAAAAAAAAAGAAAAGGAAAGCAAGCAGCAAGTAAGTTTCCACTCCAAAGCCAATGTTATATCCATCACCCCATTCTATCTCTCCATAAGCCTACTACAATTACACTGTGGAGAAAATGTGATGAGAGGTTTAACCAAGCCATGTCTATGAAGCCATTTTGTAGGCTGTGTTCTCTGGGAAAGGAAGATATCCAGAATTACAGGATCAATAATCTTAAAGGCTATTAATCGGACACACCTATCCCAAGTGTCCTGATGAAGACTACATTATTGGCTCCACTCTCCACTGACTGAAATCTTCTTAGCCTCATCTCTGTAGATGCCTTAATGTCACCAACTTCCTTCTTCAAGGCAGCCTCCACATCATCATCTTCTCCCTCACTTCCAGAGGGCTGCTGATCTTTATCTGCAAACTATTCACATAAAACCAATGAACAGAAATGATGTAACAAATCATGTTTAAACACTATAATTAACTACTTAATGTTGAAATCACTGATGGCAGATGGCTTAATAGTGACAATAAATTTTTTTATTAAGATATTTGAGACACCACTCCCTCCAAAATACAGAGGATGCTGTTTTCAAAAGAGTCTTAGTAGTCTCAGACAGCACATTTCCTTCAGAATGAATCATTTCAGGGTGGACTTTAATACCATTACTAGATATTATGTATCTGATCAAGACACAGTATTTTTGATGAAATCAGACCAGACACTTACAGAATTCAAAAACTTCTGCTCCTATTCTACTGAAGAACAGAGCACAGCAAGTTCAAGAACCTGCTCAAGTACCAGTGAAGGCAGGACATGTACCTGTTGCCCAGTTCTCTGCCCTAATGGGATTGCAAATCAGGCACTAATAATTATTGTGCATATTTGTGAAGCCCTTATTACATACCAGGATATACTTTACGTACATAACCAACCCTCTAGCCAACTTTACGGAGTACTATCATTATTCTCTTTTAATCTAGTTCAGCAGAGTTGGGTAATGCGCCCAAGTTCCAGAGCTAGTAAAAAATGACGCCAGAATTCAAATCCCTTCTGTATTATCTTCCTTTATTTTATTCCTTGGGAAGCGAACGTGTGTACTGGTCCAGATTTTAAGTCAATAATATAATTACTTCCACTGTGTTGGTACGAGTTTTTAACTTCTTATCTTAAATGTAATTTTATGTACATTTGAGAAATAACTAACTCTAGTACTGAACCCATTACTTCGGAGATACTACTGCTTAGATAAACACACGTTATTACTGCCAACCTCACATGGCCCGGCCCAGAGGAAGCAATCAATAAAAGGGAGCTAAGTGATTGATGGAAGAAGAGCTCAAGACGCAAGCCCTTCAAGCACGCGACAGACCAAACAGGTGTCCGCGACCGAGACCGCGCGAGGAAGACGCAAGACCACGCCCCCTGGTCGTAGCGAACGCGCCACAACTCGCGCATGCGTATAAAGACAGTCGGCCCTCGGGCCTTCCCTCCTTCCTCGAAGGCCTGCGGCCAGCCGTCACCAAAACCAGTACCTTTTCTGGCCCATACATGTCATCGCCGTATTCGTTGAGCAGGCTGTAGGCCTCCTCCACGCACTTGCGCTCGTTCATGTTGCAGGTGATAAGGATGCCCTGTACCCCGGGCTCCAGCTGCCGGGGTCCGCCGGCGTCGCAGCGCCGAGCTCGCTTGGCCGGCACGTACTGAGCCTTGCCCTTGCGCTTCCCGCTGCCAGGCTGAGTAGGTTGCTGGGCGGGTTCCTCCATGGTGTGTGCAAGCTGAGACGAACAGTAAACGAGCTTCTTCGCGGTTCTAAGCGTCTTGCCTTCCCCTGGCGCAGGCTGCATACGTCATGTGTGCGCGACGGCCTCCCCTAGCCCGCCTCCAAGCCTCATTGCGTGCTGCGTGGGGTCCTAAAGCCGGTCTTCACAGACGGTGGCAAGGTGGAGCGAGGCCCGGCTCTGCCCCGCCCCCTCGAAGACTGACAGGCGCGCCCTTTCCCTTACCTCCGGGAGGAGGTTCCCTGGACAAGTTACCTGCGGTTGGAGCCTGCTAGTAAACTTAGTTTCCTAACCCCAGCTGCGTAGAGCCCCTGCTCGCAAAAAGCTTCCATTTACTCGTTTATATTCATTGATTCATTCGGTTAATATTTTGTTGAGTAACTATGAGCTAGACATTGTTCTAAGTGCTGAGGTTGGAGCTGTTAGACGTGCAAGAAGACTCTGTCCATTTCCCATATAGGCTGAAGTTTCTTATAAGTGGGGCCTTCCAATCCGTCCTACTTATTTTTTGTTCCTATTGAAAGGTATATATTCAACAGAATTTCTTGTAGCACACTTGTTGCAGGGCTCCATATATACAAAGAAAAATAGGACACAAGGCACAAGAAATGTGGTGAAAGAGAGGCCTGATTATTAGAATGAGATACAGTATATTGAAATACAGGGAAACTGGCCAACATTTTATTTTTCTCTTTCTTTTTCTTAAAAAGAGGGTTTCATTATGTTGCCTGGGGCCTGGCCTTGAACTCCTTGGGCTCAAACAACCCTCCCTTTTCAGTCTCTGGAGTAGCTGGGATTACAGGTACAAGCCACCACACCTGACTTTGGCCAAACTTCCTAACACTGACTTGTCACTATGCAAACATTATGTATTTTAACTTGTAAATTAGATTAATATCAAAAGTATCATCCTTCTCAATTTCTTCATACAGTGTTATAATACTGATGTCATAAAAAGTGATAGGGACATTTTGGTGAATTGATATCATTGTGTAGGACAAACACACTTGGTTAGGAGAAGAAAGCCACATTCCTTGCTTCCAAACAAAATCATTTGGAGCCAGAGAATGTTTTTCCTTTGTTGTCCTAGGATGGATTACCTAATCGAGTGACCCCCAAATCTGGAATGAATTATAGCAGAAAGTCAGGAATGAAGACTCTTTTATTAATGTTTATTGTAATGCCAGCCTCTCTCCAAGTTCTGTTCTTTTAGCTCTCATGAGAAATTAATGCTGATATGAAATAATATCCTGGAAATTCATATATAAAAATTACATTCTATATATAAAAGAAATTTCATTTATTAATAAATAATATCATAAGGGAAAATATTTTCTTTCTTCCAATGACTTATACTTCTATTTTCTCCATACCTGTTCCCAAAATATTTAAAAACTCACTCATTTGGGTGGCACCTGTGGCTCAGTGCGTAGTTTGCTGGCCCCATATACTGAGGATGGCGGTTCAAACCCGGCCCTGGCCAAACTGCAAAATAAAAAATAGCTGGGCTTTGTGGCAGTCGCCTGTAGTCCCAGCTACTCTGGAGGCTAAGGCAAGAGAATCGCCTAAGCCCAAGAGCTGGAGGTTGCTGTGAGCTGTGTGACACCAAGGGACTCTACCGAGGGCAATAAAGTGAGACTGTGTCTCTACAAAAAAAAAAACAAAAAAACCTCATTTGCCTAGATAGGTAAACAATCAGTGTCACCATCATAATATTCTCCACTTCCCTAAAGTTAGGAATCCATCTCTTCATACTGCATGTAGCTAGAAGCCAAGTTGAACTTAACAGATCCCTTGGGTTGGGGTTGTACCTTTGACAGTGTTTTGCTTGTGATGAGCAAACATAGGAAGCTGTGCACATTACTGACCTAGTTATATTTCAGTCTCACCTTCTGAATTTTGTGAGGCAGGAACCAACAAAGTAATTAAGCGGAAAAGTAATTAGTTTGATACTGAACTTCATGGTTAATTAGGTAGGAAGCGACAAAGTAATTAAGAGGAAAAGTAATTAGTCTGATACTGAACTTCACAAACTTTTTTCATTATGTATGTGTAATTGTATACATATTTTTTCTCTAAATAACTACCTTCCCTACGGTTCTTTCGCTTTCATTACTATAGTTAAGATTAAATTCCTGGCTCAGCGCCTGTGGCCACATACACCTGAGCTGGTGGGTTCAAATCCAGGCTGGACCCACCAAACAACAATGATGGCTGCAACCAAAAAATAGCCAGGCATTGTGGCAGGCCCCTGTAGTCCCAGCTACTTGGGAAGCGGAGGCAGGAGAATTACTTGAGCCCAGGACTTGGAGGTTGCTGTGAGCTGTGATGCCACAGCACTCTACCCAGGGTGACAGCTTGAGGCTCTGTCTAAAAAAAAAAAAAAAAAAAAATCAAATTTCCTGACAATAAGGTGTTAACTGTCCTATTCCGCCATTGCAGAGTTGGGCAAATGGAAAACATTGGTTTCCTTGTCAGAGTCCCCCTTCTAGCCAACTATGGAAGTAATTTCATAAGATACTACACACAACTATACACTAGCTTGGCACCTGTGGCTCAAGTGGCTAAGGCACCAGCCACATACACCTAAGGTGGCAGGTTCAAATCCAGCCTGGGCCCACCAAACAACAATGCCAGCTGCAACCAAAAAAAAATAGCCAGGCGTTGTGGCGGGCACCTGTGGTCTCAGCTACTTGGGAGGCTGAGGCAGGAGACTCGCTTGAGCCCAGGAGTTGGAGGTTGCTGTGAGCTGTGATGCCACAGCACTCTACCCAGGGTGACAGCTTGAGGCTCTGTCTCAAAAGAAAAAAGAAACTATACACTACTTGAGGAATGGTTTTCCAAACATGTCTTCCTATTTAATACTACTATTCTAAGGGACAAAGGCAGAAATACAAACAGCTTCTGTCACCAGCAGAGGAAGACTAGTGTAGCTAGCACACAAACATGACTAATTTCTCTATAGCTTTGGTCTAAATTGTGGTTAACATTTGTTGTCTTTATTTGCTCAACAAACGACCATCTTTCCTTTTGGGGAGGGGAGAAGGGAAATCCATCGTTGGGATTAATCTTGAGTGAAAGGTAAGGCCCCAACTTTCACCATGGAAGCTTGAAATATCAGCTGTCTCTCCTTCCTGCTCTGTGGTGTGGGCACATACTTTAGCTTCAATAATCAGATATTCCTGTTTAGGACTGAAAATTGGGAACAAATATGTAAAGAAGCAGGGCCTGTTTAGAACTCATCCCATAAGCACCAGCAGCATTCTAAACACGGTGTCAGCAGCCTAGCAGCCATTCTGGAAGGGGAGGCAGGGGCACCCTCTCCAGAACCTTGATTCTGGTTCCAGCTTGCTAGCTTTCCCTACCCATGCTTGGCACTTATTCTTCCAACTTCCCCTAAAATTCTGTCGAGTTATTCAAACACTTCCGATAGATTCTTCTTTTAGCTTCAGTTTGCCAGAATATGTTTCTATTTGACTTAGGACCAAGAAGGTTGGCTAGTGTTCGATAGATTCTTCTTTTAGCTTCAGTTTGCCAGAATATGTTTCTATTTGACTTAGGACTAAGAAGGTTGGCTAGTGTTAAGTGTTTCACCCTGCTTTCTCCATGGTCTTTTTATGCATAGTCTTGGAAATTATCATGTTACTATATTATTTTAAATTGTTGGAAAGATACCACCTGTGAAGAGTGTGCATGGGAGAAGCAAGTACTTCCCATACTTACCTCTGCTCCTCTTCAGGTATAGTGTTACCAGGTTTGAGTTCCTACAAAGACCCAAAAGAGGTAATCTGATATGGTTAAAGAGGCACGTAACTCATAGTCAATAACCTTTGGCTCTAACCCCAGATTTGCCACTATTTCCAAAAATTGTATCATCTTTTTGCTTCTACCTATGTTTAATACAGCCTTTATTTTTCAGAATTTCATTGGTGCAAAGAGATTGGTAGCATAGATTTCTGGAGGTCCTTGGTGGCTCATGAAGAGCATTCTCTTTACACTGGCATTGCTGTGGTGTCAGCAAACATAGAGCTGGCTAAAACTCCATCTGGTTTTTCTTTTCATCCACAGTACCTAGCATAGTACCTGGTCCATAAAAGATGGTCAGAAAATATTTTTGCATTGAACTCAACCTCAAAAAATGGTCAATAAAGGTTAGGCACTGTGGCTCACACACACTCCTAACACCACAGGAAACCAAGGCAGGAGGATCGCTTGAGGCCAGGAGTTTCAGAGCAGCCTGAGCAAGAGCAAGACCCCATCTCTACTAAAAATGGAAGAAATTAGCTGGATGTGGTGGCATACACCTGTAGACCCAGTTACTTGGGAGGCTGAGGCAGGAGAATTGATTGAGCCTAGAAGTCTGAGGTTGCAGTGAGCTATTAGGATGCCACTGCACTCCAGCCCAGGTGACAGAGCAAGACTTTGTCTCAAAAAAGAAAAAAAGAAAAAAGGTCAATAAAGGAAAAAGGTTAAAAAATGCTATTAAGAGAGAAAGTACGCCCAAGTGCTGATCCCATTGAACTATACCAGAGGAACTGGAAATTCCTAAAACAATAGTTCTTTCTCGTTCCTCCCTCTGCCAGAAGTCCTGTAGCTTTTGTATATCTTTTGTCTAAAAGCACACAGCCTTCTCTCCCTAAAGTTATTCTTTACCCCATGTACTATTACTGCCCCTCAATTTCATAAGATGAAAATATCCCCACTGGCTTTCCCTGCTGATTTGCAACATTGTTAGTATAACAACCTAGTGTAGGTCCTATATAAATAAAGCTGTTCACACAGTTAGATGCTGCAGGCATCAGCTCTGCCAGACCTCCCCATCACGTTTATCTCTTGTGTGATCTTTGTCTCTTGTGTGTCTTATTTTGTCATTCCCCACCATTCCCACTCTGGTTTGTTTACTCTTCATGCTGACTCGCGATAGTTAGCGTACAGATAAACATTTAAGATATAATAGTTTGAGTCCCATGCATATTTGAGTCCATATGCTGGCAGCTGAAAAATCAGAAGGCAAACTTGAAAAACCGAAACTTTATCGTATTTCATTGTTGCTGACTGCTGGGAATATCCCAATGAGAAAAATATGCAAACATGCAGCTCTAGTCTAGATGTTGAAATGACATAAATTGCCCTTCATCCTGTGGCAACTGCCAGTGAAGCTTACTCTGACTAGCTCCACTGAACCAGGCCTTTAGTCACTTCTGAATAACTCAAACTTTATTTATTCTGGATTGTTCTTCTATTCTGATATCTTGTTTATTCTTTACAACTACATCATTATTTCTTTTTTAATTATTTTTTATTAAATCATAATATTGTACCTTGATGTATTTATGAGGCTCAGGGTACTGCTTCAATATACAATATGAAATGTTTCCATTGAACTAAGTAACACATCCATCATACATCATTATTTCATTAGGAGAGATTTCTTGGGCTAATGCTGGACCACTTTCATACAAAATTTTGACTCTATGAACTTTCACCTCCTTAGGTCACCTACCAGTCACGGACAGTGGCCTAGTTTGTATCATCAGGGCTCTATGGTGTGACTTGTAAACTTCATTTAGAAAGAAGCACCTGTGGTCTCAGCACCCATACCTCAGTGGTTAGGGTGCTGGCCACATATACTGGGGCTGGCAAGTTCGAACCCAGCCTGGGCCTGCTAAACAATGACAACTGTAACCAAATAAATAAATGGCTGGGCATTGTGGCAGGTGCCTGTAGTCCCAGCTACTTGGGAGGCTGAGGCAAGAGAATCACTTAAGCCCAAGAGTTTGAGGTTGCTGTGAGCTGTGATGCCACAGCACTCTACTGTTAGACTCTGTCTCAAAAAAAAGAAAGAAAGAAAGAAGCACCTGTGGCAACTTGTAAAGCAGATGAAGGTGCTGTGAAGAAGTTGCCTTTCATTTTAATTAACATATTTGCTTCGCATATTCAGAAGGGTTTATGGCCCAGCAATGGAGGAATGAAAGGCATCCTAGATTCCCTTTCCCTTTCTCTTCCTAGCCTGCACAGTCAGTGCTCCTGAACTTGTATGTTTAGTACAGAATTCATCCTGGCCCTAAACATGGGTAGAAGATACTCTCAGATACCTTTCCTGTTCTGACTTTGTTCTCTATCTAAGATTGCCTGACTTGTTCGCCTGTTACTCAGCATCTTCAGGGAATAACTGTCCTGGCATTGAATCCTGGTCTCCTGACTTGATGCCAGATATCTGCTCCCTTCAGAATTGGTACCAGGTATGATAAAGAGCCCAGATTCTAAAGTCAAAACAGTCCAAATCTTGATTTTGCCAGAACCTGGCTATAAGACTCTGAGTAATTTACCTAAGCCAAGTTTCAGTTTGCTCATTAGATTAAAAATAAATATGACAGAGATAACAATAATATCAACATCATGGGTTATTAGGAAAATTTAGCAAGTTCAGTCATGGAAAGTGCTTAGATCATAATCACTCTCAGTCAATGGACTTAAAACAGTCTGGTGCTCAGTTGTGACTCAGCCCAGGTTTGGGGAGATTTCTTTAGCATGAGTATCCATGCTTCAGTCTGATTTCCTAACCTCATTATTTCTCTTAATCTCTTATTTCAATGGCTCTTTTATACGTATGACTTATTAAAAGCTAAGCTTAATCCCTTTAAGAAGGAGGATAAAAGGGAATTTTTTTGATAGTGTAAAGTAAAATGAAATGTGTATTCCCGAGGGTGGCACCTGTGGCTCAGTGGGTTGGGCACCGCCCCATACACTGAGGGTGGTGGGTTCAAACCCGGCCCTGGCCAAACTCAACAAAAATATAGCTGGGCATTGTGGCCAGCACCTGTAGTCAGGAGGCTGATGCAAGTGAATCACCTAAGCCCAGGAGTTGGAAGTTGCTGTGAGCTGTGTGATGCCATGGCACTCTACCAAGGGTAATAAAGTGAGACTCTGTCTCTAGGAAAAAAAAAGAGAGAAAGAAAGAAATGTGTATTCCCTGCATGCCTTGCCTTTACCAACTGGTTCCTGCCTCACATTTGATTGATGATATCCCAAGTCTCCTTGGCTATGATTCACTTGTTGTACTTGCACTTTCATCACACCCACAAAGTACGTGAGAAACATACCCAATAGCCCAGTCTCCCAGGTTGGAACCTAACTTTGAACTTACAAGAACTTAAGTCTGTCCCTGAAGTAGTCACATTTGACCTGGCTCTTGTACTCCTACTTGCATCCTACACAGTGCTGCTGCTCAGTCCTGAGCTCCTCCTGATCCCTGCCACCTCCAATTTGTTGCATCCCACCATTGCTTGAGGCTCAATTTTGACAGGTTTGCTTCTCTCTCTTTCCCTCTTTCCCTCTCTGTCTCTCTCATTGGCAGGTAATTATAAAGGATATAACTCAGGTACAGCCAAATAGAAGAGATGTATAGGGTAAGAAAAACGTGTGGGAGAAGATGAGGCAGGCAGGCAATCGCTGTGATTTAAAAAATCCTCCATGCTTTGTGTTCTGCCAAAGCACCTTATTGAAATGAAATCTGCCAAAGCACCTTATTGCAATGAAATACACTTTTCATTATGATTTAAATGATATTCTCTTTTTTTTTTCTATCACAAAGCCAGCCACAGACTCTCTAAATCAGTTGTTCTCAAACCTTCCCAATACCGTGACCTTTTAATACAGTTCCTGTGGGTGGCAACCCACAGATTGAGAACCTCTGCTCTAAATTCTCATTTTATACATTGTAAACAAATAGATGAACAGGTTTGTCTTCAGTGGTCAGAACAAAATACTGTCCTTGTTAAGCAAATTTTGCTTAAGTTTTTCTCCTTCGCTCAGGGCCTTGAACTTTGACCTACCTCAGCCTGTGTTAATACACAACCCGTCTTTGTGTTCCTCTTAAGAACAGGCTCACTTCAAGGCAAAACATTCTCTGACCTTTGGTCTGAGTTTGCCACCCTCCATCCTTCCCTCCCACTCCTGCTTTCTTTCTAATCTTGTTTGCTCCTCCTTGTGAAAGAAACCCCTTTTCTGCCTAATCTTTCAGTTGCTTGCAAATCTTATAGTTGGTCTTTTCCTCTAATGCAATACTCATTTAGAAAAAAGTCATTTCTCAAAAAAAAAATACAGAAAAACATCTAATTTATTTTATTTCACAATGTCTGGAAACAGCCCCAGGACAGTAACAATCATGCCTTTCAAAAGGGCATTACAGCCCCATTTCCACTCCAACCTATAGCATCTGCCTGTGAGTCCTCAGATTTCCCAGGCTGTGGAGTTTCTCTCAGTATAAATGGCTCCTTCCTTCAAAGTGAGTAGGCCAAGACACCTGCAGGGAAGGCTCTCCAGGAAAAATGAACTGGGCCTTCAATGACCTCCTATTGCTGGATCAGGACTGACCATTGTACTAGGTTGGGATAAGGAGGATGGGAACAGACACTTTGTCTAGGGGGTGTCTACTGAGAAACAGATGATGGTAAGAGATGTTCTATTAGGAAGAACAAATTGACTGGGGTTGGGGGGACCACAGGTGCTTCTTTCTAAACAAGAAAGAACCGATGACATGTTAAGGAGGGCCCCAAGGACTGAACAGATGTTTGGTCAACAATAGGGGATCTTAAAGGACTGACTAAAAAAGAGACAGAGAAACCTCAAAGTGAAGATATGATCAAGACCAAAAAGAGACAGAGAAACCGCAAGGGAGCTGCAGGAGTCTCCATAGGGAGACTCCCTGCATAGGGAGTCTTTGGCCCATGCACACAGTTGAGGTAATAGGCCCCTAAATGATTTACCCCCATTAACGTAGTAACTGCACCCTCAGTTGAAAAGAAAACAACTGTAAAACAACATTTTCTGAGTTGATCTGGAAAACTGTGAAATTTAAGAAATGATAGTTAAGATACTTGATGAGCAGGAGGAAGTACTGTGGCTTTCTCAGGTGTTATAATGGTGTCCTGGTTAAGTTAAGAAAGAGTCTTAGTTTTTAGAGATACACAGGGAAAGTTAATTAAACAATATATTTAGACTTGTTTCAGAGTAATGATAGAAGAGGGAGGAGTGGATGGTGATATAAATGAAACAAAATTGGCCATGTGTAGACAATTATTGGAACTGAGTGATGGATACACAGGGGTTCACCATATTATTCTAACTATTTGTGTATCTTTGAAATTTTTTCACAATAAAGAAAAAAAAGAGGGAGAGACAGAAGAAATACAGACACAGAGACAATGAATATCGAAGGAAAAACTATATGTATCATAGGCAATTATTTTGAGAAATTTTGCTGTAAAAGAAGAGAAGTGGAGCAGTAGGTAGAGAGGGAAAAATGGCACAGGAGATTTTATTTTAATATGGGGAACATTACCACGTGTTTCTAACTGACCGTCTTTCCCTACTTCAACTCCTATTCCAAAACAAGAAAAAAGAAAAGAAGAATTGATAATATAAGAGGAGGGTTGGCTCA